ACAACAACAACAACAACCACTACTCCCACTCCTACTACAACTACTGCTACTTTGCTGCTGGTACTGCTACATACTGGTACTGCTGCCGCTGCAGCTGCTGCCGCTACTGCCGCTTCTGCCGCTGCCGCCGCTGCTGCCGCTGCTGCCGCTGCTACTGCTACTGCTGCTACTGCTACTGCCACATCAACAACAGCTGCTAGCAGCACCACCACCACCACCACCGCCACCGCCACCGCCACCACCACAGTTTCACCAGTCCTGCTCGTACTACTGTCACTAGTGGTCGTACTGCTGGCACCACCGCCTAAATTTCATGGCAAAAACAACAGTCATGGCAAAAACAACAGAACATCACGGCACGAAGCAGTAGTACTGATAGCAGCTGCAGCGATGTGTTTGCGTGATGGGAGCCATGCCTTTTTGGAAGAAAGCCTCCTTGCACGTCTTGCTTCGCCATCTTGCAGAACCACATAGCCCGTCTGTGTCCCAGTCCGATAAGAAGCAGCCTCATTTAGACGTCTAAGCCTGGGCAGCCAGAATTCTCACAACAAGGATCCCGGACAGCAGGGGACGCAAGGTGCTACCTTGATCTACCTTGAAACCTACAGCCCGCAGCTCGCCCTCGATCGGACGGCATCAGGAGGATGAAGAGGAGGGCGTGCCCGCAAAGTACGTTCAAGCCCTCCAGGTGGCAGAGTTTGGGTTCACATAGTGACGTGGTGCAGCTCAAGCGTTTTCGGAATGATTCTGCCCGTCTGTCCGTGAGTGTGTGTGGACGAGTCTTTGTGTTTGCTCGTGCTTGCTTTTCTTCTAGCTCGCAATTCGCAAATCATCAATGAAAGCCGGGGAAAAACCCCTTGTTGCTACGCCTTCCTTGCCAGCGAAGCTTACCACCTCGTCGCATCCTTGCACTGGTCCTGACGCCTGAAGTCTAACGGCTACATGTGCTCGACGGTGAAGAGTCTGTTCTCTGCAGTCTTAAGACGATGCTTCATAATTTCTTTTTTGTTGCTACTGCTAAAGTCAACAACATCTCTGGCAGCAGTTAGGTCTCATCACAGCTCTGTTTGACCGGGTAGCATCTCTGCCGTTGTGACTACAGAGCGTGTGACTTTCCACCCACCAAAGCCAACCTTGACCATCACCAGACTGCCTGAAGCAAGTACAGAAACGGCCTCGAGACTGTCCAGTGCCGACAAGCCACCGTGCGCCCGCTTCGAATGCCAGGATTTTGAGCTGACCACCGTGCCCTCTGAGGCGAGCGTGCCAACTGAAGTTGTAAACCATGGGCCAGACCTTACACAGAAGCCGGTTGAAAGCCGTCTGCACTGAGCCTGTGTTCGTGAACGTCAATATTGCATATTGCAAGCGGAATCTTGACTCCTCCCTCGCCTTTAAACGAGGAAGCAGATCACCTATGTCATGACATTGCAACACTTGTGTCTGGTGCCAGGACAGCCTCTTCAAATCTGCCACAGCAGACAAAGAGCGGGGCAACCAGTTACTTATCGGACATGGAGCGAGCCGGTTTTTAACCTCTGCCAGAAGCTACAAAATCCCAAAACCGTCCTCGAAAGAGAAGATCTCCTCCTGGATGGATGGCTTGTCTCTCCCGCCGCAAACTGGCGCAGCAAGAGAACAGCTTAGGCTCTTCAAGCTCAAGGACTACGAGGCTCAAAACGCGAGGGTTTCGGGTGTTTGTGCTTGAGGCAGCCCTTTGTTGTAGAAGGGTAGGACGATGATGGAGCTCACCAGCAGCCCCTTGTTCCACAGCTGTGTGTTCTTCGATTGAGCTTCCTGGAGCACAGCAAATGAAATCCTTGACTCTGAGAGGCACCGCGCTAGCATGAAGCTATTTGCAGATGCCCAGAATACTTGTACCGCCCATAAAATCCATAAAAGCCTCCCAAGTCCCCTTAAAGCGATAACCCCAATGCCCTGCAGATGGTCTTCCGAGGCCGCCTCGGAGTTCTACGGCACCGCCCTGGCGCGCTTCGCCGCACGGCCGGTGGGTCGCGGTGAGCAGGTGCTGCTGAGGCGCCTTGATAGGGAGGAGGGGGAGTAATTTAGAGCTTTAAAGTTTTCTAATTATTGGCTTTCGATTCGGCCCGGTGGGCTAATGATGCAAGGAGATAGACGGTCAAGCTCAGCAGGTACTACCCGATGCTCAGTCGGGTATTTGTCACCATGCTGCCACAGTAGCTGCAGTGGGTTGTTGATATGAATGCTGAGCACGGTCTCGGCATTCCAGGTCGTGGAGGCTCGATCTGCAATTGAGATGATTTTGCTGTCATCCCGGGCTTCGTCACACAGTAATTGAGCTGAGGCGGGTGAATTCATTGAAGTTTGGTAGATACTTTCACGGCGTGCTTGACTCGCAAACCAACCCTGAAGAACGGTTCGGTCAGCTGCCCTAGAATCTACAGCAGAAGGCAACGTGTCCTTGGTTTTTAGGATCCTGTAAGTTTCGGAAGTGAGCTGATGCACCTTGCACGAAAGACATGAGGCGACAAGATCACGACAAGGACTGCTAAGCTAGCGATTGAGATGTCCGGCTGTTAAGCGGCAGGCGATTCTGGTGTCATCTTTTCTGTGCTTGCAACGTTTCGTCTGCGCCGCCCTGTGGGATATGGAGTACCAGCATGGCAATCTCTAAAGCAGAGCCAGCTGCTGCGACTGAGAAGATGGCATTGGGCATTCAGTGTGGCTCAGTGGTCGCCTGCGCGCGCAGGAGGGAAAGTCTGCGCTCGCCTTGGCCACGGCTGCTCAGCTTGAACCGCAGTTAGTGTTGCCCATCCTGAAGGTTTCTGCCTGCGCATGTGCCGGTATGTTCCATTCTCTTACGCCGCGTGTTGAAACTGCTATGCGATCAGCAAGTTCGTCGTTGCAGCTCCTCTCACGTTGACTCGATCTGATAGGATCCAAGGATGAGCTGTCCAAAGTGTGCTCAATTTCGGCGCGTGTATTCTACCATCTGGTGCCTTGAGCAGTCTCCCTTGGCTCTTGCAGCTGAGGTTCTGTCCGTGGACTCCGAGGGCCTGTGCGAGCTGTCCAATGGGGCAGAGCTGCCGGCTTTCTGCCTGAACTTCACAGTTGAGGAGCCGTAATCCATGCAAGCATCGTCTTGACGGAAGAACGGGATCATCGCTTAAGTAGTGGTACACTGTCACAGAGAGAGAGAGAGAGAGAGTTCGTTCATGCATGTTTCCTCGCATGTAGGTACCTTGACAGACGCCTATTGGCCGTGGCATGCTTCAACGGCATGGCTCACTTTGATACCTTGTTGTGTCACCAGTGTTCCGACCCGATCGTTAGATGAGGCCCTGCTGCAGCCTTAAGCCTTGAGGCCAGCGAGCTTCTCCCTGTTTGCCAAGAGCTGCTCCCTCTGCACACCTCGCTCTACATGCCCCCTTGGCTGCAGCTCTGTGGACTGTTTGGGATTTCTGAGCATTCCGAGATTTTGCTCCGGGAAGTGCGACTTGCAAGTCTTGTCGCCAGACGGTTCCTGTAACCCGGCACCTCGCGAGGAACAGGGCCCGGTGCAGACAGAACCTCGGTGCCTTGACTTTAACTGGCAGAGAAGAGCTTGAGCATCCCTGGAGTGTAAGAATCCATCAAAAGCTCCAGACTCGTTCGAGGCCGTCACGCGGAGGCCTCGCAGGACGGAGCCTGACGACAAACCGACATCGCGCAGGGGTCTGCGACACCTACTTTGTCGGGAATCGGAATATGTATATGTCTTGGCACATTCTGCTCTACAGTGGCTTGCACGTCATCATTCTGTGACTCGGATTCCTGTCTTGCCATTCTGTCGTGCTTCTGTCGTGTGTTGCGGGAAGTCTTTGCTATGCAACTGTCTGCCGGCCGAGAAGACATTCCACGGCCATTACAGAGCCATTGAACTCTGAAAGTATCAGAGGTCTGAGTCAAATAAAATGGACTATTATTAGTATCGTTACGTTGTTGCATGGCTTTTGGTAGTGCGACGATAAATTTCCAAGAGTTGCAAACTTTCCCAGATTTGTCGCAGGACCTGTCCGCCGTCCTTGGACTCTGGCAAGCTGTCGCTCGAGCCCCGGAAGTGTCCGTGCTTGTCGCTATGCACTATGCACGAGCATGATGCAGGAGGGGAGGGCAGGTGCAGGGGTCGTGTGCCACGGTGTGCTTTGGTAGAACGACGTGCCCTTGACATGGTTTTGTTGACATCGGTTCAGGGTGTTCAGCATCTTGCCAGGACAAGCGCATGCTACAAGCAGACCCAGAGACGAAGGAGGCAGAGCTGAAAGGCCTCATGGCAAAGCCTCTGACCTGGTAGCTGGCTTCTTCAGATTTGGGGCTTTGGTCGTGATGGCGCACCAGATTCAGATGCCATTCCCGATATATTGTAGTCATGCATATATCAATGCAGGCATACACGCACGTGCGAACATACATATGCTTGCATTGTCATTGCATTGTCTATAAACCGCTGCGGGTTTCAGAGTTTAGGGTTTAGGCCTTTAGAATTCAGGGTTTAGGGTTTCGGTCAGGGTCGGATTTGAAGTCACGACCGCACTAGAAAGCCGTGCGTGGTGGCTTATGTTGGGTCCAGGAACCCTGAAGCAAACACCCCTGCCTCAAACCTACTGTAGTTGCCTTAGGAAAAGAGAGCAAGGTTTCTGAGATGCACCAGATTACATATGTTATCTGATATCAAGGAGACCTCTGGACAAGTCTTACGATCCCCAACATGAGTGTAACTGTACACACATGTGCTTGTCCATATACAAGTTGGAATTCGGCAGCAATACGAACGAAGATGGTTGCATCCCCACTATAAGTTCCAGTCAACTTTCAAGATGGCCCCTGGAGCCCGGGAGGCTTGTATACGGCTGAGTATCTGCGAGCACGCTCCAGGCGCCAGCAGTGGGGCTCAGCATGATCCAAACCCGAACGCTCTGAGTTTGTGCCCCTGGCCATGGCAGGCTAGCCCGCGGCTTATCGAGATCGGCAGCGCAGGATTCAAAAAAATTCCAGGGATTCCCTCCTCCTGAGAAATGAAATCAGCACTTCAGCCCGACAGCAACAGACAGCAGCTTTGCAGGATGTGAAGGATGCCCTCGCGCGCAGTCCGCCTGCCGCCACCGCCTTCCAGTTGCAACTACAGCAGTTTAGGAAGTGAGATTCGGCCGCTGCGGTCGCGGTGACAGGTGGCTCTCAAGGTGTTCGGATCCGTTTAGCAGCCTTGCGGCTTAGGTGAAGCAGCTCAAACAGCTCAAGACCGAGGCCGCCACCTCGGCCTCTCGAAAGGAACTGCGAGATTGACTGGATACGTCCGACATGGCCAGGTCCAGGCGGCCCAGGAGAAGCACCGGCAGGTGAACAGCCCACTGGCCAAGGAGAGACTGAATAGACTGGGAGGCCTCGAGGCCCCCCTTTCTGTGTGCAGTCTCTTGCCACTGCGAACCCTAGCGCGGACGTCGTTAAAGCGACGGCATCATGCCACGCTCGGCGATTTTGAATGACGCCCGAATCCTGGAATGCTTGAATTGTGCCATTATGTGCAGGAGCTGGCGAAGCTAATGATCTCGCTGAGGGGTGGACCTCAGATTTCCTGACAGTGCTCATGGTGCAGGCCAGGTGTGCGAGTGCAGACGTGACAGGTCGGAGTGACATGCAGCTGTTTGCGTGTCGCTGTGGACTCAATCTTGCCGACTTATTATCTATCAGCATTGTGCCCAGCCGCACCCAAACCAATGATGCTTCGGATCGCAAGAAGGATTGTAGAATTCACAAGTACCGGAGATCTCTTGCGATGCAGGCCTTTTGCATGACCTCGCGGGCGGGACGCTGCATGCTTGAATTGAGTGGTAGCGGCCGTCCCAACCCTATACGAACGTAGATTCCCTTCACCAGATGATTGCTGGGCCATGGGTCGAGATTCGTTATGGCTGGGGAAGTAGCGATAAACGTAAGGAGCATTCAACAACCGGCTCGTGAGGCCTAGGAGGGAAATCTGCGGCTCAAAGACCAAGCAGACCGAGTCTTGCTCCAATCCTGGTGCGAGCGGCAGAAAGGCACAGAAATCGTGGATCGACTTTGGGGAGTTTCCAGAGCTTACAAGGCTTAGAGCTTCTGTTTCTGCTTTGATTTTCTCTAGCACGCGCACCTGGCGTAAAGAGGAATGCTGGTGTGTATGATACCACCGGTGCCCGCAATCGCCAAAAACAATAGTAGTAGTATTACAATACTATGAGCAACATGCGTAACAGCGGTAGTAGTCGCACTCCTCGTCGTCGTCGTCGTCGTCGTCTCGTCGAGGTCGTTGTCGTCGTCGTCGTCGTAGTAGTAGTAGTAGTAGCAGAAGGAGATGAACTGCTCTCAAAAGTGATGAATGTGGGCTACAATCTTAAAACAACACTGGGCTGAAAGCACACTGGGTTCTCCCGCCGAGCGGACTGCGGAATTTTGTGTGTTGAGCAGCCCCCGCCCCACCCCAGCCGTCCGGTAGAGATCATAACACCCGTCATTTCACACCCCCTGCGCTCGATGCTGCTGGTCCGAGCTTATGAGCTTGAGCGAGATGATGCTGTCTCAGTTCTGCACAGGTCCGGTGATTCACAGCCGAAGGTATTTCGTGATTGTTGGTGTTTGGCAAGCGCATCAGAGCGCGCCCCCAGTTCGAAGTTCAAGATCTGTTTGAGGTAGCCCTTCTCTCGGAGCTTAGGAGACAAGAGGGCCATGTAGTACCAGGTAGTACCAGGTAGTTCTGCGGTAGAAAGTGAAGCAAGCATGCAAAGCATCTATGAGCAGGGTGTGATCTGACAGGAGGGGGGGGGGTCTGATAAGTGGATGACTCAGGAGTTGATCCATGTCTGAACATTTGGCTCATTGTTCCCATGGCAACGAGGGGTGATTCATAGATAGTACTTAGCAGCATTGAGTCAGTACTGTGTTGTCGAAGTTACAAAGACTTAACAGGGCGACGACAGCATCAAAATAATCTGCAGAGTAGAAGGTTTCGCCATGAGGTTATGCACATGCCTGCAGATGCACAATGCCAATCTCGCACAAACTTCAAGCATCAAAGAAGAAGAGCTCCTGGAAGAAGAAAAGAGCGAAGGCCACAGCTCCACAAGTTGATGTTGAAATCGTGCAAGCAGGAGAAGCGGCAGAGGAGCCCCTGCCCCCACAACGTCACGTTGCTATTGCAGTGGTTTCACTGTCGGCCTTGTTTACATTGACATCCATCTATGTGGCGCAATTCTGGCGAGCATCTCCCGATGATAGCTTGGGTCTTGTGTTCTCCGGGCCACAACAAAATGCCAGCGTGAATGCGCGTGACAAACTGAGCTTAAGGTATGGAGGGTCACTCGGAGCTGCCGTAGCAGCAATGGGTGCGCCATCCGGTGCGATCCCCGAAAGTTCTAAGTATGACGGGTTGCTGCAAGTCCAAGATTCCCAACAGCCAGCGCCAGCGCCAGTTACTACAATGATCAGCCAAGCGAGAATCTCTCCAAGTGCAGCTGGGACGCAAACTAGGCTGAGACTTGCACACATCTCTCCGAGGCAGCCCGGAAATTTCCGGCAGCCACGAGTGCTTTGGATACACCTGCACGGTTACGGGGGAACTACTATTTGTGATATGGCAAGATCTCAAGGGGAGAAGGTTCCTCGCGCGCAGGACAATTGCAATGTCATGCCAGACCTTTGTTCCACACCCAAGATCTTCCGCACTCCATGCACGAAACGAGCATCCAGCTTGCAATACACGTTTACAGCAATAGAGCGTGCTGTGGATGAGGACGACCTGTCCTGTTCCGGTGGTGCTGCAAGCAGCCCCGGCGCAACCATGCTGTACGGGGCTATGCTGCGCGATCCGCTATCTGGAATTAAGTCAACTTGGATCGGCAACGAACTGGAGAAGGATCTTATTCTCGCCGCCATAAAAACGAAGACGCGGCCGAGAAATTTCCAGTATCATTTCTGCCTGCCTCCTTCCGACACGTATCAGCACTTCGATAATTTCGCTGTTCGCACCTTGAGCGGGGATTACGATGTGGCTCCTGGTGAAGTGACAAGCCGACACTTGGAACGGGCTAAGGAGGTGCTTTCCAGGCTGGATGTCGTTTTAATCCTGGAGCATCTTGTGGACCATCTACCTCAGCTACATGCCATCTTTGGTTGGGACCTTATGATGGATAATCCCTGGAGGTCCCACAGACACCGCATACCGAAGAATGCCATGAGCCCTGGGGAAGAGATGTTCTTGAAGAAAGTCAATGCCTGGGATTATGAGCTTTATGAGTTTGGGAAAGAGCTAGCCCTTGAGCGGACCGCACAAGCCAAGCTTCGCCTTCTCCCGTCCTAGACGGAGAATGCATTTAAGTTCAGTTGATGATCGTTGATGGCTCAATGGCAGCGCTCGCCTCGTGTCCGAGGTTCGTGCGTTGCCTTCATTGTAGATAGCCTCGACAAAGTACTGAACACAAGATGGTGCCAGATGGCCGGTGTGGTCCCTGGCATTATGGGTGCATGTCACCAGACTACTCTTGCATGCTGACTACAAGTGTGGAAAGGTGCAGATGTCCGGGTCGGAGTGCCTATAGTGCCCGTCTGAGATCCTCACAAAACACTGTTGGGTCTGTTTCACACTGCGTGCAGCAAGGCGGCCTCCACTGCTCTGCTGCAAAGTTGGCTGTGAATGATCTGCTTTGGTTAAATTCAACAGGAATGACCTCAGTTCGGGAAAGTATGCATAATCATGCCAGGCAGCATCGAGGCTTGCAAGATTCGCGAAGGTGGGATATCTCACAAGGTCCACGCAACCTCGCCGGTTTGAGCTCAAGCTCGCTTTGAGGCAGTGTCTAGCTCATCGCAGGTAATTTTGGCAAGGTGAGGTAGGTATTCTAGGTCTCACAGCCTCAAAAACCATGACTTACCTGCGAATCTCGTGACATCATGTTTGCATATCAGCCATCCCCCAGCCCGAGAACCCCTCGGGCAAAGACAAGGCTACGGCCATGGTGCGTGCATTGAATCCGTACGATTATGGTGGCCCACCTCTTCTCGACTGGCCGCCAGTCGCAACAGCGTTTCAAGACCCTCAAGGCAGTGCACTCCCAAAGGTCCGCAAGGGTGTGCGACAGCAGTTCTCGGACATTGCTGCGATGGGCACCAGCTACCCTGGCGGGGACGTCATGTACCAGAGCTTATGGCGAAAGAATGGTGGAGACCTCAATCTTTGGCCAAAGGAGGAACGCTTCTACAAGGGCCCGCGGCTGGGGGAGTATGCACGGCCTCTGGTCATGAACAGGAATGTGCTAGGCTACATGAACCAGTCTCCAGTCCCTCTTAGCGCCGCTGAAGGCGAGTTGACCCTAGTCGCACATGCCAGCAGTGCTTCAAAACGAGCCAGAGCCCATGCGGAATATGCCCGACAAGCTGCAGAGAAAGCCGAGGCTTTCTACAAGGCTGCCAAAGCCAGAGCACGGGCGTTGTTTCTTCCAGACCCGCCCATCAGTGTGAAGCCAACGGCAGACGTGTATCCGATGTATTCAGCCGGACCGATGGCCCTAAACCCTGTTTCTGCTTCTGCTTCCCTCGTCCTGGCAGGTTTCTTGCATGATATCGGAAGCCCGTCGAAGCTGGACAATGCTAGCCAGTTTCTTGGCCTGAGAAGTGCAGGTGCCCTCTGAGCTCGCAGGAGAACTGCCGTCCAGACGCGTCTCCACAGACTCATTCGAAAAAGCCCCGGAGCACGAAAGCGAGAACATGGCAAGAGAGCATGCGGTACGGCGCTTTGGCATTAGATGCATGCCTTCGGCTGTAGGACTGCCACTACTTCTAATGCCACCAAGTCATGCTGCATGTTCGAGGGCACGTTTCGAGACTAGGATTGAGCTCCGCACAGTTAGACTCAGTTAGACACGATTCTCAGGGACTGGGGATAGACTTGATGACCGACAATGTGCCATGACTCTGCATGGATTAAGCTGGACATGTTGCCACATGCTCGAGTGGCGGTACAGCATTTTCAAGTCCTTCCTCGACCTTGTGACTCTCTTCGGCTTTCCAGCAAACTTTCCGCACGAAAGATGGCGGGATGGTAGTCACAGCATAGAAGGGGGAGGCAGCAGGCCTCCTGGTGTTTTCAGGTGGGCAGGGCATCCTGCATTGCGCATGCGTTGTTGTGTGTCTCATACCCATACTGCTGTGTGATTTGACCGAGTGCCAGATGTGTCGTATACTCGTTGATTGTGCTTTGACCGCGACCCGGAGGTGATCGCAGAAGCTCTCCAGCATGGGCTGCGCTGCTAGCCTATCAGCGAAGTGACCCGAGAGCGGAATCTGCAACGCTACATGAATTCTTTGGCTGGAAGCTGCAAGCTTTCTTGTTTTGCTCTGCAAAGTGCTCACACGCGGTGGTTGGGGGCTTCCAACTCGCAAGCCTAGCCTTTGCAGATTCGACCGAGTGAGGATTCTGGGTATGTGGGCTGCCAAGCGGCTACTCATAATTTGCAGCTGGCTTCTGCGGGATGAGAATGGTTCAGCGACCAAGTTGAGGTACCTGCCCGCTCCAAAGCCAGAGACAGGGGACTCGAAGGTGGGCCAGTGCAGTCAATGTCTGGGGTATCGGATGGGACTGATGCCCCTCATAGGCTCTCATGACATGAAGCAAAGTGAATCGGTTTCACCACGAGGCAAGCAACGCGCCAGTTGAGCCAGAGGCACGCGGCTGCAGTACGTGGCCGAAACATACCTTTGACACGGGAGTTGTGAACTCTGGATGCTGTACAACGGGCGGGGCTCGCAGTGAGAAGGTTATGTGCGCCGCGAAATCAGAAAACTTGAGATGCAAGGCCGATGAGGCATCCGCAGCTCCCCAGCACCAGGCCGCATGTGTAGCAGGAAAGATTTAGTCGCAGCACGTGTCGTAGCTCTTTTTGTGCAAGGTGGGCAAGAAGTGGACGCGGACCGAGGCCTCTTGGGAAGTGAGAAAAGCTGACTGTGAGCATTCTTTAGACAGTCGTGTGCCTGCCATGTGCCACGAACGCTCTCTCGCATTCTGCAGATGGGAGAGCTGACTGTTCAGCAGCTGGTGCGCTGGTTGGAGGTGGATGTTGCACACCCGTATTTCTGAAGTTGTAAGGTTCAAGCCTGGGACAGCTGTCTGCCCCTCTTAAGCTGGATGCATTTTGGGATGCCCTCGGATGCTTGGTGCGTGAAACGCTTGCGGTTCTGAGAGGCTCATGGCTCGGTGAGACTGTAGATTATGTCAGCTGCATTGAGGCTGCTAGATCTGTCGTCAGTCGTAGCTTTACAAGGAACCCATGCTAAGTCTGACGCGCTGCCGCCACCAGGGTCTCAACATCGACCTGTCACCGGCAATCCCGCCTGTCCGTGCACGGCAAAGGCTCTGGGAGGCATGCCGAATAGATGTCAGTTCAAGACTAAATTATCAGCTGCTTGCAGTGTCGGATTGGCCAGGAGATCGAGAAGTCAAAGCCGACTGCCCTGGAACAGGCCGGGCACCATGCGGCCACAACGCTGGCCACACCTGAAAGTCCCGATGTCCTTCAGTTTACGAAAGACCTGCGACAGCCTGAAGTGTTCAGCAGCGCCTCCTTGACCTAGTGACCGCGAGCGCTTGCTAGTCGGATATGTCAGCAAAACGGAGGTCACCGATCCGCTGCATCTGGAACACTGGCCTCTGTCAGCGACGCTGCGATGGCTGGAGTACTTCAATGCTTTGGATGAGTCGCTGGCGAAGAAGGCCCTTCATGCTTCAGCAGAGCAAGCACGGACCACCTCGCCAAATTTGATTAGGCCTCCCTACTTATTTCCACAGTCATACCGCTAGTTTCGGGGGGTGACCTTCTGCCGAAGTCATTGCTGTGCGCCACCACAGGACAAGCTCATCTCTATGTTGATGGAGAAGGGAGAGGACCTTCCTGTCATAGCCTTTTGCCCGGCTGGCAATCGTAGAAACTCAGGTGATTGCTTGCCTTACATGAAGCAAGCCTGAAGGATTTGTCTCCTCCGAACTTCGAGGCTAGTGAAGAGGACAACTTCCTCACAGAGGTTGGGTGGTGAAGCATTGATGCTACGAACAGGTTGTCACAGAATCTGGGCCAGCAGGTCTCACGCCATGTCGGCATGGTGAAGCAGGTGGGCACAGCATGTTGGGAATCAGAGGGAAGCTCCAAGCGCGGCTCGAGTTGAATGCTTCGGAACGGCCCTGCCATGCTGTGCAACAGGCGGCGTCCAGCATCATCGCCAACCTCTCCGAGCAGCTGGCGCAGGCGCTCTGACTGGCTCTAAATAGCTTGGACAGGGCAGGGAGTCACCGTGACTGGAGCTCTGGCTGCGGTCGCACCAGCTGAGGCCGATGCCGATGAACGGCCCAAGCATCGCTGGTTTGCCAACGGGAAGGTCGATGCTTGGAACGAGGGTCGGAGCTATGGTGCAAGGGGGACCTTGCGAGGCACTCTCTGACTTCCGACCGGAGGAATTCCAGGCCACCAAAGAGGCAGTGCAGGGCTGTCAGAATGAGATTGCACTTGTTGCTTGGCATGCCAGTCTCGCGCCAGTTGGATATCCCGCTCGTTCAGATGAAAGCAGGAGACCGGGTGATGGCCTCAGAGTCTCGGAAAGGGCCTTCAACCGTGAGTCCTTTTTACGGTACAGGCTTGCGGGGCGCACTGCCAAAAAAAGGTAGCAGTGTCAGGGGCACTCTGGATTGTTGCTCTGTTTCGCGCTGCAAGGTGGACCTCACTCTGAACGAGGCGTGCCGTGGGCCACTGGAGAAGTGCGGGGTCGCTGGTAAGTCATGATTCGGGTCGCTTCTCCTCGCCACGTTCTGGCAGCTGTTATGGTGAAAAACCTGCCAAGCCCATGAAAGCGTTTGGTCCCAGAGGTCTCGCATGTTTATCTACGGGAGGCCGGTGGCTGGGCCTGGGTCGTCCTGGAAGACGAAGTCACCTCAGGTTGGGCATGGAGCCCAGAGCTGTGTGGCGGGTGCGGCTCCAGGTGCAAAGCTTTACGTAGAAGTCTTTTTCAGGGCAGTCCTTCTTGAGTCGACTCTGTGGTGTGTGGCTGCGTGCAGTCTGCACAGAAGTTGAATGGTTGCAACTGCTGGGTGTTTTGGCTCTTGGCCGTGGCCTTTGACTAGCGTGGTAGCTCGTATTAGCCTGTTGATGGAAGAGTTGCATGGACAGGAGTCTTGTGCCTTTCGCGTGCGGGTACCCATGAACACTCAGAAAAGCAGACTCATGCAGATTGCAGGCAAAAACGGTTTCAGCAAGCCATATGAGGCAGGAGAGCTCGGGATTCCCGACACCCTACTGGGCAATACTGACAGCTGCAGTGCTCATGGCCTCGGCACCGCTGCTAAGCACTCCCTCGACGTCGCGGCGGCGGAAGCCCCGATCCGTCTTCGGGTACTGGCCACCCGGCCCAAGCTGTTGCAGTTGGAGCCATCCCAAGATCTCAGAATGCTGCAGGCCAGTTTGGTCCGAGTGCATACCCCTCAATGAGGAAACAGGGAAGGTCGATGGGGTCCGAAGCTTGCCAGCACTTGTCAGCAGTTGGGTTCTTTCTCATGTCGGTGGCAAAAAATGATCAGCTTTTATTGACAGTTGTTTTGAGTATCGAAGCATAGTGTACAAAAGCTCACTGTTTTGGCGTGGACGTGCCAGGTGTGGATTGCATACATGTGACCACCGTTTACAGCTACTAGTATATGGGAATGAGTATCAAGAAGCAGCCGTGTGCCGTGCCAAGGAGTGACGGCAAATATGATTGCTGGCAGCATCATCGGCATCAGACAAACCCTCACCGGCATTGTCAGCGCGACGCTGGTGTTCACTGGGTCCAGCTTCCCTGAAGTCACGCACATGTTCTCGTTTGGTATATGCATGACACCAGGCTATGAAAAGCATCGTTTTTTAGGCAGTCTATTCAGAACTGCAGAATGACATAGAATGACTCAGAATGGTAGAACGGTAGTGCTCCTGAAAGGATGTGGTATTCCACGATGGTTGGCTCGGCATTCTATGCGATCTTTGGGAGGCTGCAGTACAACACAAGCGCCACGCAGGAGGTCTGTGCCATCCTCTACGGTGCCTCTGAGCAGCAGCCAGTCGTGCAGCAGACGTGCTGCGCGCAGCTCCCGCTTTGCAGCAATCGAGGCGCCATGGCGCAGAGCGCCGCCGAACGGCTGCGCAGGTCCGGCCAGCCGGAGCGGATCCCGGCGACGGCACCCCAGCAGAAGGGAAGCGGACGTGGCTCGCTACAAGCTGAGACATGTGCTGAGGTCCTTGCGCTCATCATGGCCGGAACCTCTCTCACGGGACTCTGCAGCGTGCTCCTGGGGAAGCTCGGTGTCGGCAAGGCAGGATCGCAGTGCCATTTAATTGCAGTGCCACAGATGCCAGAATCAGCGCATGACGATTCCTGCCATCGGATGCCCCGACTGCGGACGAGCAAAGCCTAGGGCCTATGAGTCACTCGCACTGCCGCACTTCGAAGTGAGCCTTCGTCGTGGTAGGTGATGCTGAGATTTCCCAGCCCAGTGACGAGTGGTTTTCTGGGCACAATCGGCTTCTTCCTTGTTCGGACGGCCCTGCAAATTTCTTCTGGTGTCCCGGCTCGGTCTCTTGAGACGTTTCCTTCCGCATGATTCCACATGAGAGACTGAGAAGCTTCCGGGGGACGACTGCATTTTTGTAAAGAGTTGAAGCGGCTGCATTAGGTGTGCAGTTCCAGTATTTCTACCCGGTCAGCTTTGTCGACTTCTTCTCTCTGCGGAGCATGGCCCCCGTCTCGTGCTTGCTGTGCATGGCGCCTTTGACAGCAGCTCTTGGTTTCGAAAGCAGCTCGGCTGGCAATGTAAGGAAGGAGAGCGTGCTCAGGTCATGTTGATTCGGACTGGCCCTGGTTTCATCGCCAAGATGTATGGCCAGAACAAAGCAGTCATGAAGCTCTCCGGGCTTGGCTGCCAGCTTTTCCCCTTGGCACTCTTCTATGTGGTGATTCTGATATGCGGCATCCCTATGGAAGTGCTTAGTGAGACGGGCTGGACCTTCCCCGCACAAGCAGGCAGCTCTTTCTGGGGGTTATGGACTACCTACAGCATCGGCGATGCAGATCCCAACGTCCTGCTGTCGAATGTTTCTTCAATGTTCATGCTGGTCATCATGTCCGTGCTGTGTCTGCAGGCAGTATGATCGAACCTCGCTCCTCGCTGTGTCGTCGTATGAGGCCACATAGCTTGGAGTTAAATTGTGCTAGTGCCTGGAATGGCTGCGTGACCAGCGAGAACAAGTGTGACTGTGACACAACCGAAAACCTTAGCAAGACCTCCGTTGCTTAGGCAGTCCTTCCCGTTCGAAGGGCATGCTGACCAATGCTTTGCAAGCGTGCCCGAAACTTTGAGAAGATCCCTGCTTCAACAAGATGGCCCATGGAATGACATGGCGGCCCACTTGTTCGCTCGCCTGCTGACGCCCCAGAGTGGGCGGGGGAGGGAAACCACGTGGCTCCACAAGTACACACGGGGGGGGGGGGGGAGGACGTGTGGGAATGCTTCTTCATCTCCAATAGAGGAACCACACGAAGAAGAAACAGTAGTAGTTCAAAATAGCGACAACAACTCCGAATTCAGGACCGAGAGATGCCATAGGGGTGGACGCAGTTCAGCCGGGACTTGCAGAGACTCAACGCGAGGACGCAGGAAGGACTCACGGCCTTTGCATCCTTTTTTTGCCTACCCCACTCGCGGAGAACCCACTCGCGGAGAACATTTTCTCGCATTTGCAGTCGGAGACGGGAACCAGTTCTCGATCCAGGTTGAAAAGAACAGGACATGAATCCAGAACCGAGAAATGTTAGGCGTTTTATTGGTGCCGCAGGGAGCATCTGACAGTGACTGAATGAGGTGCTGTGCACGATGACCGGTGTCTTGGGCATAACGGGGAAGTTTGCTTCGGGTCCCGACGGAGACCCATCTCCCATGGACGTGGTGGACTTCGATGCAGAGCTCACGACTGTGGGCTTCGGTTCGCTTCTCACAGGTTCCTATAAGAAGGGTGAGGGTCTGCCATGGGGTCTGCCCAGGGGCTTCAACTCATAGCTTCAGGTGGAACCTGTTGGATGCGCTGCCAGGCCTTACCCACGGTGTGGTGACCTTCCATCGCCTGGGTAGCTCCATCCAGCTGCGTATGGATGGTGGTACGCACCGCTTGGCCGTCTTGACCTCATCTGCTTTTGTGGGCATCTTCTTCTTTACGAATGTGCCTGGGCTTCAGAAAGCGGAGAGGGGGTGGCGTGGTTCAGTCAATCGAGGCAAGACCAAACTTGCAGATTGTATGCTTGTCTGTGCGGGCCGCAGGTCCCCCTGGGCCATTTCATCCCCAAGTTCTTCCTCGGCGGTCTCTTCATGGGCAGTGGGGTTAGCTTCCTCGAGAGTTCCTTCTTGTCTTTCCGCAGCCTACCGCCACTGTCGGTCCTCGGCTACCGGCTCCCTTCGCTACAGTGGCTGGGTAGCACGGAGATGAGCCGTCCCAAGGAAGCCTTCTAAAGCCCAAAAAGCCTTCTGAGGTACTGGGTGACGGTGGCTTGCATTCTCGTGGCCGCCTTCAGCTCGCCCTTTGAGGGCATCGGAGCCGGCTTAGCGCTGAGCCTGGTCATCTTCCTCTACGACAGCAGCCCTCCTTAACCTGGGACATCCTGGGATCGAGCGTTGCTTGTGAGACCTTGAGCCAAGGTACGCAGTCATCCCCCGTGGACAGCATGCCTCTTTGCCGAAGATGGTGTTGATTGGCCGGTTGGGGTGTTGTTTTAGCAGCTAGCAGGCGCCAAGCGACCATCAACCGAAGCCGACTCATGCATGGACAGCAAACAAGAGCATTGACTGTATGGACCCGTCGATATTGCCAGCTTCGGATGAATCAGAAGCTCTTCCCGATGGAGACTCTGTCCACCCACACCTCAGGTACAGTCAGTAGCATCTACGATCCAACAGTCCCTGCGAAACTGCGAAAGTCGAACCAAATAGGCCGCAACAGCGCGACAGATACTGCATTGGGTAGCCGAGCCCTCCACACGACGAAGCTGGGGTCCCGGCGCCGGGAAAAAAAAGGGCCCCCTGTGGTGAAGCGAAATCTCACGAAGTTGTTTTTTGGTCGGTCCTTGGTAGGTTCGGTGCTTTGTGGCTTTGTGGCCTCAGGTCGACGGGAGACCGCACCATGAGCCGGACACGGCGGCCTTTTTGGGAGCTCGAGGCTTTGGGCACCGAGGGGCATCGCATCCTCCTCCTGTATCTCCAGGAACGGAGCGAGTCCAAACTGGCAAAGTGCAACAAACATCGTCTTTTTTTGTCATCGCCGCTTCCAGTTTTCAGGGACAGCTCTTCTTTGGCTCTGGTCAGACGCTCGCGGCGAGCCTGGTGGAGACCATCGAGGGCGCCCGGAGGCCAGGCCGCAGGCCAGTGCAGCTTTGTTTAAAAAACTCGGAAGCACCGTGGCTTTTGGAGGCCTTTGCCGCCAGAATTCTGCATCCTCAGCTTCGGGAAGCTCAGCTAACACCAAGCATCACCAAGCCTTCAGGCTCCAACCGAGCTGAGTTGCACCCAAGGAAAGTTTCCAGCATCGACGCGCGAGTCTCAGAGTCTTCGAGCTACACTCGCCCTCCTCTTGTTCAGCCCGTACTCTCTTGCTTACTTCCGCATCGCCGTCGCCTTGCATCTTCGAGGCCTCCGCAGCCGAGCAGCTGAAGACAGCCGTAAAGCGAGTGGCCACTCTGGGTTGCAAGGTGCCCGGGAGAGTCGTTCCGATTCTGCTGATTCTGCTTGGCGCGAGGGGAAAGAGGCTTCAGGCCAAACTTCTCTGAATGCGTTCACAGAGTTTACACGAGCCGTTCGCCCATGTCAGGTGCTGTTTTGCCGAATGAACGCTCAAGTCTTCGAAGCCCTGTCGGTCGGCTGCGTGGCCGCCCGGCTGTGATGAGCTTCAGCACAGCGGTGAAGCGCGCTGGGACGGCGCTGAGGTCAAGTCTCCGGACTCCGACCTTCGTGAGCTCCTCGGGCTGAGCTTCGGCTGCATCTGGGAAGCTCCCCCCCGTAGGTCGCGCTTGCAGATCCGTCATGCGTGGTAGACAGCAGCGCCTTCCAGGAGCGACCCTTCAGAGGACGGAAGCTGGCAGGAGCTACGTGAATGCTTAGTACCATCACTTGCTTTAAGTGGTTACGACGGTTACGGGTTCTCTAAAGTCACATGGCCCGGCTAAAGGTGACAAGGCAGCACCAGGCTCCTAGGTGCAATCTTCATCACGACACGTGTATGTAAAGTTCGTTGCGCGTTGGCTCTGAGCGAGTTCCGGAAAAGGATTCCCCGAGCCCGAGCCCCGTCATACCGCTGAATGAGATGGAGGCCAACAGCTCCCCGGCAGCGTCCCTTGAAGCCAGTTGAGGTTCTCCCCTGCCAAAGCTGCTAAGTCTCTGGCAGCCGAGGCCCCACTGGCAAAGGCGACTTGAACTGTTGGGCGAAGATGAAGCCTTTCAGGCCTCTAGGCGATTGGGCTTAAGAGTTACAAAGGTCCAAGCAGACAAGATCGCTGAGTGGGTTGTCAGGACAAGAAGACTATGATGCTTTCGACGATGTGACCTTGGGCTCACAATGACTTCTTGTTTGAGACCCACGTTCCCTCCACTGACAACACACGTAGAGGACAGTCCCTCTGTTTTCCTTCCTTCTGGGGGAAGCCCTGGCCAGCCCAGGACCGATGCTTTGGATTACACAGGAGATCAAGTGTTGGAACGTTACCTCTACGCCAAGGACCTGGACACTTTTATGCAGGAGCCGCCGGGAAGCAACTTTCTCTCTTCCTGCTTCGGCATCTGCTCCTCTTCCATCTTCTCTTTTTTGAGGTATCGAGCGGCGTGCTCGACCGGCTCGCGCTTGGGTCATGCGGCCTTTGAGGCCATGAATTTGCTTCCTTCAGGCCCAGGGGTCGAAGCTGACACCAGCAGCCATAATCGAATTGCAGGTCTCACCGGCCCATGCCGTCTCGCAGTGTTCAGGCTTCCTGAGCCAACTACAGGCCTTCTGCGTGGTCGAGCGTAGTCTCACATCAGGACTGCAGGGGCTGGGTCGAAACGGGGGCAGGGTAAAAGTAGGGTTAAGGTTATGTAAAGTGCATTGTTGAGGGCTGCAGCGTACTTTGTGCCACAAGTTGGCAGGAAGCCACCTTCCTGGTTCCGATGCACTCGTCCTGATACTTCAAGGCATGTGGTTTCTTGGGCTCCACCGCCGGCAAATGTGGAATTGGCGGAACACTGCTTCCTCGCAATGCTCGATGGCCTGGCAGTCTGATCTAGAGGAGAGGGAGTTGCACTCTGTATACACAGGCTCACTACTTCATAGTGGAGGTTGGATTGCAACATCATGCGGTTTGGCACATGGGTTTGCAAATCTTTCTTGCCTTGTGGTGGTGGTGGCGGCGGCAGCGGTGGCGGCGGTGGTGGTGTTCTTTTTGCTGCTTCTGCTGCTGATGGTGTTGTTGCTGCATGTTGCTGCTGCTGCTGCTTTTGCTTCGCCGCTTGCCACTGCTCTTTTTCTGGTGGGACTGACGCAGGCGCCGTCGCCATGGTGGAGCTGCCAGAGGAGACTGCTTGAGGGGGGTGGGGTGTGCAGGATGTCTTCGGGGAACTGAAATAGCGTTCCGGCCCTTGGGGGTCCCTCGAGGCCGCGGCCCGCAAGGATGCGAGGACCGGCCAGGTCTTGGTGAAAGGCGGGCAGCTGAAGGGGCCTTGTGAAACTGATCGGAGACTGCGCCCTCCAGGTTTCCAGGGCCGCCGGGGGACGAGGCTAATGAGACGGTACCCGCCGCTTGCCAGAAAAACAGTTACACTAATTATTGAACTTCTTGTGCCGGCATTCCCCCCGGCCTAACATAATGCATCAACCTTCTGTTCTGCACAAGAGGCCGGGCAGCTGCGTTGGAATTCACGAGTTCCTCCTCACTGGTGGCTTTGCGCATACACAGGGACAGGCTGTCGTGCCCACGTCAATGCATGACGTTCCACAAGCTGAGGTTGCAAGAGACTCACACGATCAACGACCCGCTTGGTGGTTTCAAGTGTTTGGACATGCACGCGAGATTCAGGGCTCGCGTGGATCAAAGGCTGCAGTTGTTGCGTGTGGCAGGGCGCAACATCTCAACCAATTTCAGTCCATCTAGCTTCCGTTGGTTTGGTTCTGCTGTGGGACGCAGGGCAAATATCTCACAGGTTCGCCAATCTGAGGCAAGTTTGGTTATTCTACGGAGGTCTGGTGCCTTAGCCGAGAAGCTTGGAAGTCGATGTCAGAGGACGGGTTGGGGGGCATGGCCATCATCACCGGCGATTTCGCTGCTTTGCGGAGTAGTTTTGAAGGATCTGCGACAGGTCCTCAGCGACTGGTGCCTGCGGCAATTGGCCGAGGCGGGCTTGAGTTCTGATAGTGTTTTGTGGAAGCATGCGCTGCCAGGAGGAGCAGCATTCACTGCTCACAGGCTTCTGAGGCCCAAAGTGGCCCTGGCTTTGCGGCGTGCGGCGGAAGAAAAACACTTCTTTGTGGAATCGGCCAGAGATCTTCGAGACTCTGAGGCCCTGGCAAGCGCAGTGACAGAGGTCGCCAGTGCCCTTCAGGACGGTGGGATGTTCCTCTTGGCTTCGCAGATCTGCTTCGTTGTCTTTTTCAGATGCCGGCTCCGGAAAGTTTTTGGAAGTTTGCTTTGGACAGGACTTCGGCCAAGACTCGGAGGACCTCGCAGTGCAGGGATGGATCCCGGCTGGTATGTCCTGACGGGTTTCAGCTTAGCAAGGCAGTGGGTCGCGGAAGCTCCTGCTTTTTCTTGCAGCGGGGGGTGTGTCAATCCTGATGCGAGGTCACAGAGAGCTTGCTTGCCTCTTAGCCTTGAAGGAAGCCGAGGGCATGAGCCTGCGCTGCCTGAAGGGGGAGGAGCTTGAGGCGTGCATTCGGCAAGCCCTTCACTGCGAAACCCGGGGGTTGAAGTTTCATTCTGAACATTTCTGAACTGGTACTGTAGAGATCTATCGTGCAAGTGTAGTTCTTCTGCACGTCCACACCCTGGATGACCAGCATCCCACCTCACCTGAAGAGAGATGCCTAATGGGTTTCAGGCTCCCTAAGCAGCGCAGGTGATCCTGCGCCACTACAGTGGCTGGACCTTGTGCCGCAAACCGCCTGCAGAGGCAGCGGGAGGCCAGGCCGACGTAATTCTCCCGTGCGTGAAACCTGAAGCTCCTTGCGGAGCATGGCGCTCGTTGTTCCTCCAATTATGGATGTGAACTCGTTTTTTTTGACTTTTTTTTGTAGATGTGCCCCTGGCTTCCGTCGGATTCTATTATAGGTTCTTTTGATGGATGTGTTCTCGTCAAGCGGTTTGGGCTGTCTGAGCTTTGCAATGCCACGTTATCAGCCGGACGATGTCCAAGCTTCCAGGCCAGATGCTGGCGGACCCAACTAGCATCTTAGTAGAAGCTCCCGTCTGATGGTACTTGATGCTGCCTTGTTAACCGCACTGTCACCAAGCCGCGCAGCTGAGGGAACCCTGGCGTCGAACCCCAAACCGAAATACACCTCAGGACCAGAGCTGACTCCCAAGGGCCCAACGGAGGAGGGCTGGATGCCGGACAACTGCCTCCCTGCCCCGTTTCGGGCTTCCGGGCAGCTAGGGTATGGCAGATTTCGAGGCGAAGACGAGCCTTCCTTGGAAGATGTTAAAAAGGGGCTGCAGCCCAGAGCTGGTCCTCAGTATTTGCGACCTGTGCTGGGCTATCTCAATCTACAGGCTATTGCTGTCCTCTGAATTGGCAACCATGCCAAGGCTGGCCAGCCAAGACTTTTCGTCTTCGCCAGGTCTAAGCGACCACCCTCGGAACATGCCCACGAAGCAGCTGGGAGCCTAGTCATCTTCAGTGGGCCATGCGGGTAGAAACGACGGTTTAGGGTGATTTAGGGTGTGTCTTCGATTAGGGAGCCTCTGGTTTCTCAAGCATGCAGCCCGCTTCCGATTCTGAGACCTGCGCAGATGCAGCGTGTCCCTGTTCATTTCGTGGGTTTTGGCCAGGTTTGTTTGAAGATCCTGTAAGGCCTCAGGCTCTAGGCTTGAAAGGATACTTGCAGCTTCCCAAGTCTCCCGGCTGAAACACGAGACCCAGGCCACAGTTTGTTCAAGCTTTAAACAGCCTTAAACAGCCCTCGGCATAGAAATTGCAAGCAAGACATGTAGGCGGCCAGGCTCAGGGTACCTTTGACTGTTTGCAGTAGAATTGCTCGTGCTTCAGCGCAGAACCAGCCGGCGGAGACGTCTGGAGCAGCGTCGGCAGAGTGCATATATACAAAGTTATAACACGCAGGTTCTCTGCATTCGTGCATGTTATTTGGAACTGGACTATCAGAATCGTTGGGCTATGTCAGGTAGAATCCACTTATACGGGATTCACGCTTCTACTAAGTTACATTCCATTCGATTCTACTTGATTCTCTTCTATTCCAGCCTAGTGTATCCTGTTCCATTCTGTCTTCTGTCACAGTCGATTGATTGCGACACAATGAATGCAGTGACGAGTCAGTTCATAAATGAACAAAGGAATGAAAGAAAGAAAGATAGATAGATGGGTAAGCAAGTAGATACACCCAAGAAGAGGAAAACAACACTTAAATAACAAGTGGGAATAGTTCAGAAATTGAAAAACAATAGATGAATAGGTACATCGCTAGCTAGCCAGCTAGCCAGCTGTCCAGCCAGTCAGCTAACAAACTAACCCTATAAACAACTGCAGGCATAAACTGAAATAGAGAGTTTAATAGACGCACATACATACATACGTACATGCATACATACATGCATGCATGCATGCATGTATGTACATACATATACATATATATATACATATATGCATGTGTGTGTACGCCTCTGCACATACCTCTTGGTATGTATGTATGTATGTATGTATGTATGTATGTATGTATGTATGTATGTATATGCTGTCTACACTATGAACACACACATACACATACACACATACACATCCTGTTTCACCGACACGTACACGTAACTCAGGAGCGGATTTATGCATACCTCCCTGTGATCGCCGGTCCATCCGTTTCTCGACAGGCAGCATCTGATCCTCGCTGGGCTCCAGCGCCTCTCCGCGGAGCTCAGTCAGGTCGAGGCCTCGCTCTACCGGCTGGGAGCCTAGGGGAGTTTCGGGGTACCCTAAAATCTGCAAGTCAAAGTGAGACCTGCTCCGGTCGAGCTAGGTGCTTGGAAAACATTTAGGTGACACTGCAGCCCTCAGAAGCATTTCATTTTCTCCTCTTGATCTTTGCATGGATTGCATCTCTCTCCAAGTTCACTGAGGATTCAAACCGAGGGTGCCGAGGAGGAGGATTCCTTGCAAACGCTCCATGCCAAGGCCGGAGACTTTGAAGCTGCAGCGTCTGGTTCCTTTCTCTTCCTTGTTGCGAGGTGTGCGAACTGGTGGAGGAGTATCGAAACATCGCTGCTATCCTTCAGGCGAGTGCAAGACGAGTTCTGGATTTGACTGTCGCAGCAAAGCTTTGATGGGAGCATGGTTGGTGTGTCTGACATCGCTTGAATCCCTGCCGAGTGCAGGCAAATCCGCATCTGCTGTGCCAGGAGGCAGATGTTTCTTCTTTCGTGGAGGGGCAGTTACAGTTGGGGAAAATAAAAAATGATCGCAACTCATGATTTCGGAAGGAGAGCAAGGCGGCTGTGGAGGAGACTTCAACTGTTGTTGTCTCGGGCCTCAACTCCTTCGTTCACGCGCCTCAGGGCCTGAATACGGCTAGTTTGGATGCTCGAGGAGCCGAAGAATGCGAACGGCCTGCCAGCGTGGGTCCGCGGAGTTCTCAGTTTCTTTGGCAGATTTTAGGCTGTTACGGACGGGTGCTCATATGCCACCTGCCCTGATCGCCACATCCCAACTGGACATGCTTCGCCACAGCTCAGAAAGACAGCCGCTCGTTGATACTAGTTAGGTTGGTTGGATGCCTCGATGTGCCGACATCTGTTTAGATCGTTACAGATTGCCTTCAGTTGGGGCACCCTCCAGAGAAGCCAGACTTGAAAGAACCATGAACCTTTGACCTGCGTGCCAAAGGTGTGGAGGGTCGCTGCTACTACGTCTCCAAATCGCAGAAGAAGCTCATGAGCGTCTCTTGCCTAGAGCATAGACGGCCCATGTCAGAGCCAGTGCAAGAACCACCATGTCAGGTGACGATCAAGCGTGTCAAGCCCTCAGATGCCGGGAGTGCGGGAAGGAACCAGGTTGAAACAGGAAGAGATGATCCGATGGCTCTCCTGAGCATTCCAATGCATTCCACCTTGTGTCGGAAACGAGACTGCGCCTCTGGGGGCTCTGCTTGGCAGCTACTAGTAGGCCTGACTTTCACACACTTGTACCTGCGCTGTTGGGGGCTCAGGTTTGCGACGTCCGCCAGCAGATTCTAGTGACTTTCGATTCCGATCGCAACGCCCGAAAGGTCGCTCCGGGCTCAGCACGCTTGTCCGGAGTGGCTCGTCTTTGTCTCTTCCCCGAATGTGCAGATACGCCGGTGGAGTGAGATCGTAGCACATCTTTCCGAAAAGTTGGGGTTTGCAGCTGCCCCTTTCGAGCTCTCGCCCATCGTTGTTACAACCGCCCCACACCGGACCAGCTCGGAAGCTCCGTGAGGCCGTGAGTGTACTGCCATCTCGGGCAACCCAATCTTGTGCCCAGGTGGAGTTCGCTGCTTTTGAGGACATGGCCTCCTGTCCCTTGCAGCCCAAGGAGCCTGGGGAAGAAGAGTCTGAAGGCTTCAAAGCTTTTAATCGGTGTGGAAAAGTCAAACTCTGCAAGCGACTGTGGTGAGGAGAAATCCAAGCGAAGGAAGAGCCGTGTCAAGAAGCCTCACGCCCGGTTGCCCAGAGGAAGAGGGCAGCTCTGGGCTGGACACGTCCGTGGAAGATCTCTTAAGTGCTTTGCAAATATCGACGGAAGCCGATGTTTCAACGGACCGAGGACGAATTGGCAGAAGATCTCCGGGATGTTATCCAGGCAAGGCCTTGTGGGGTTGCAAGAGGCACATGAATTTGTTCACCATGCAGTAGGATCGCAGGTTCGGGCATTCACTCAATTAGGTGTGCACGGTTAGCTGGTCAACAGGCCTAGAACGCTAATTGAATTAGACGATGCGGCTGCCAGGATCTGGGACCGCCGGGCGCAATCTCAGCTGTCGGGGGCCGAGATACGTTGCTTTTGTGAGTCATGTGAGCATGGATTTTTACTCGGGTCGAGCACGTACCGTTAAGCTCTGAGAAGAAAGGCGGCGTCGTCGGACTCCGAATCGGACAGCTACTCGTCCAGCGACTACACTTCCTCCACGGCCTCAGGCAAGTTTCCCACGCAGAAGAGAGCCCGGTTCCATCAGCAGATGTTTTCAATCCATTGCCAGGATCCGATCGGGGCGTTGCCACTGGGTCCAAGCCTCAGTGGAAAGGACGGATCTTGTCTAGCGGCTGTTGACGAGCAGAATGCAGTGCAGGCCAGAGTTCCACGAGGGAAGTGGCTCCTCGACGGTGGCGTCCACAGCGATATTTCTTAGCGTAGAACATGGTAGAATGAACTGTTCGGGCCATAGATTCTCGAAGCTGGCTGTCCGGATGGCAGGGCGTGCTGGGTCTGAGTCGGTCTTGTGTCCAAGCCTCCCAAGCTTCCGAGAAGCATCTGACCGAGTCGCCTTGCTTCGGACCAGAGCAGGCGGAGGACAGGGAAAGCAGCTGAAATGCCAGCATTAGACCGTTGGAGCCTTCTGCAGCTTTCTGCTGGTTTATCCAGAAAGGGACGGCTTGTGGCCTCTATAGCGCTGATAGAAGCCGTACGAAGCTGAGCAACGATATTCTCCGGCTCAGTGCTTGCAGCGGAGGCGCGAGAGGCAGCGGAGAAGGCCAAGGAAGCCGAGGCCTGCCGCAAGGGGCTGTGCCGATCCCGCCCCTCTGTGCCAGAGGATGGAGGCGAAGAGGAATCGGAAAGACACCACAGACAGACTGTTACAAGGACAGAACACAGAGCAGAGAGACAAAGACGAAGAAGGCAGAGGAGCTTTCTCTTCTCGATTCGGGGCATTCGGGGCATCGGAACATTGAAACCTGCAGGTTGGCTAGTTTAGTTTAGCTCGTGTTCCGTCTCTGCGTTGTTCCGTGCCCAGCCCTCCAGGGCCCTGACGTGCGCGGAAGGAGTGAAGTAGAGGGAGCTCCGCATCCTTGTGGCGGCTCTCAGCTGTGGCAGTGTAAACCAGTTCTCATGGAAACGAACGGAAAACGGATAGACAGAGACATCTGTTGCTGATTGGGGTCTGGCCTGAGCTCTTCCGTGAGTCAAAGCCTCGGTGTAGCACAACTCACTTCCAGCACCGGCAGGGGCCAAGCCCGAAAACACTAAAAAGGGCGAATCGGGGTGCAGCGGGCGGGCCTCCGTGCGATGGCTGGCCATTTGGGAATACCCTTCGGCCATGGCAGATCGACATCCCCTCAAAGTCCTGCAGCAACTGTTAGAGGCGCTACCAGTAGCGAGGGGACGCCGCCCTGGTCCTTCGTGCTGCAGTTCTGCCGTCAGGAGCTCATGAACTTCCCGCCTGAACGCCATAAAGTGGACAAGGGGAACGTGGCTTATGCGACCCGAATCACCGATGCAGCGGCCCTCGCGCTGCTTGGCTGCCTTTTGCCGGTCGGACGTCAGCTTTTGTCGTGGCCTGCGGCCCTTGAGGTGTGCTGCAGACTGCGTCCCTGGCTCAGCTCAAGTCATAGACGACATGATGTCTGGCTCGACACGAACCAAACTGAACGCCCGTGCATTAATCTTCGTGGTGGATCTCATCCTGAAGCGTGGGATGCGCCAAAACCCGCCGCCGGAGCGCAACTATGCAGTGATGGCGAAAGTGATGGTGCCACACCTGAGCAAGTGGCTCCGAGTTCTGCTTCTGACAAAGCGCTCCCCGGAGCAGCTTGAAAAAACCAGGAAAATGATCTCAAGATGGTCGGACGATGGCTACCTGCCGATGGATGGTGTTCTCCCACTGATCGAGCTGATGGATGGCGGCTTGCCTCCTGTTTCCGAAGACTCCCAGCAATCCCAACAGTCTCTGGACTTCTCGCAGTCGCAGCCTTTGCCTTGGAGCTCGCCCCAACGCAAGGAAGAGCTCCGTCCTGGAGCAGGCCCGTCTGCGCCTGTGCCCGACACCAAGCAGCCGCAGCCTGCGCCGGCGGCCCCGGCAGCCCCGGCACCGCCGCCAGCGACGCAGAGTCGGGAGGAGCCTCCCTCGAAGCGCGTGAAGCGCCTCTCCAGTTCGGAGCTCCCGAGCCGCGAGGCGGAGGCCGACCTCGCCGAGGATCCCTTTTTCTTTCTAGGCCCTTGCATGCTTCGCAGGCGCAGCAAGCCCAAGAGCTCACCCCGACGCGGAGGCTGGGCACCGGAGCGCTTGCCGAGCGCATAATCGATTTGATTGATTCTCTGTGTTTGTGCTTGCTGCGCGAGACAAGACAACAAGCAAGAATCAAACCGGTCACGTTGTGGACCAGAACACGGTTGAGAGCGCATCGGCGGTACCTACTAACACCTAGAAGAGGCTTTCAAGAATGCTGCCTCGTGGATGTTGCTTTAGGATGCGAGGCCAATGCTTTGGCGATGGGGAAATGTGGCTTTCGCCAGGCTGGTGCTGCCGAGCGCGCAGAAGGACAAGAAGGCCGCGCCCGGGCGGCGCTCCCTCACCACTGCAGAGTTTATCGGGTGTCCGACGACTGCCAGTGCCGCCCAAACGGCGAAGCCGGCTCCTTTGGCGACCAACGGTGCCAACAGCGAGCCGTCTGCTGAAAAGCCACAGCTGCAGCCTGTGGCCGAAGCCACCGGGAAAAATGAGGCGCCTGCGGCGCAGGATCAGGCAAAAGACCAGGAGAGAGCTCTTTCTGAGACTTCAATGTTTTTCGAGTGTTGGTGGGTTTGTCAACATACTTCACGCACGGAATGGTTTCGGCGGATTGCATACTTTCCAGGAGCTCGTCCGTCGCAAGATTTCCATCTCCTGGCGAGTGCGGGGTGACTGTCGCTGCCTCTTCCGCGCCGTGATGCGGGCTTTCTCTCTCGACGCTCGGGCCCGGTGGTTTCGTCAGACCAACAGGTCGCTGACATCTGTAGCTCTCGGAGCCCGAAGTCCCGAAGTGTACAGAACTGCAGAGGATCCGCTCAACCGAAAGCAACGAGATCATCTCGGCGAGCCCATCGACGAGGCAGAGCGTGTGCGGGAAACTTGGCAGAAGAGGAGGCTTGCAAGCTTCCTCCCACTAAGCAAGATGCACAAAACGCACAAGAACAACTAAGTCGTTGCAAGCAAAAAAATCCTCTTCTTGTCGTGTCATCTTCTTCCTCTCGGGCCTGCCCGGCTCCCGGCTCCAGGAAAGGGAGTACGCCGACAAGCTGCGGAAACGTGTCTGCGAGGAGTTCCTGCTGCGCCAGGAGACGTGATGGCTTGCTATGGCTCCATCTAACTCTTTGCGTGGTCAAAGGTCCGGGTGTCCAGCTTTTAGGTCGACAGCGCAACTCTTTGCTGCTTGTGAATATCGGTCAGGTACAACTGACAAAGCTAGGGCAGCTAGGGAAGATAGAGCCTGTGCCGACTTGCAGCCTGTGCGGCGAGGATGAGGTAACGCCCCTGTTGGAGAACGTCACCTTCGAGGCTCGGTGCAGTGTCGGTATTGTCCCTGCCCAATTTAATATCAGTGGCTCCAGTTTGGCATGTCCAAGACCTGCAGGCCTACGTGCAGCGGATGAGCGAGTGGCAAACCTGGGGTGACGAGATCTGCCTGAAGTGGCCCAGCTTTTTCAGCCTGATTGATGCAACTACAGCACTTCGCGCTCGGGTCGGGCAGAGCTCATGAGCAGTTCTAGATTCTAGCGAAACGGAGCACTGCTGAGGCCGAGTACTAGTAAACTCCTGAAGGCGGAACGAGACACCAGAAGAAGTCCAGAAGATACTGTGGGAAGACTTCGCCTCATGCATTGGGGAAGATCCGTGGGGCCATTGGGGAATGGGGATCTTAGATGCATCCGTGTGTCCTGTTGTCATGGATGTCTCGTCTTGTCTCCGGAAAAACCTGCAGCGATAGCTTCCAAGGTTCCTCCCGGATGTGGTGAAGCGACCGCTGCAAGTGTACCTTAAGTCTCCATTGTAGTTCCTTTTTGGGGATACCTTATAGAATCCTTAAGATATAGGAACTACAATGGAGACTACAGGTACTCCTGTAACTGGGAGAAGCAGGAGCTCTTTGATGCTGGGCTTTACATCCCTTCGAAGAAGGACAGAAGCTTTGCTTCCGGACTTCGAGGAAGTGAAAGGTTCCTGGCCATTTCGTAGTTATGCTCTGTAGCACTTGGGGGTGACATTTTTCGTACTAGCGATGCCCGTTGTGGGAAGGTGCTTCGTCTCCTTACCACTAGAGCCAAGCTGCTTCTCCAAGCACCACGAAGCCTGAAAACCTTTGGCCCCCGTTGGGTCGCCACGAGCGCGGAGTTTTTAGCTCATCTTCCACAACTTCATCCTCAGCATGGCTGGCACCACTTTCCTGGTGCCACTTTCTCCTAAGGTGTGTCGTAGATCCTGATTACCTAGGCGTTACAGCTCTGCTGAGTTTTCAGTCAAAAAAACTAGCTGACTGGCAGGAGTACCACGGCAAAGAGTGCATCGTTCTCCTCCACAATGGAAAGCCCCGCAGCTGGCATTTGTTCATGTGCTTGGGATGGCTAGAAGCATGGTTCTTGGGCTCGGGCTCGGGCTCGGTCAAGCCTGTCGGTGCAGTGTCCGTGGTGGAACTTCTCGAACTGACAGGTGCGACAAAGAACGAAGCTGCCTCCTCCTCCTCCTCCTTCCGAGGTCTCATTTTGATTTGGTGTCCACCGAGTGGCTTCTTGCTCATGAGCAGCGGCTTTGCTCGCAGCATTGAGCAATCTGCTCCCGATGCTGCTGTCATGCGATGGATGTAGGTTAGGATAGGATGCGCATTGCTGCGTGGTGCAGCCAGCACTCCCTGCTTTTCGTGGGAGTGTGTACAGCAGGCACTGTGCGCTGAGATTCTGGGTTGCCAGTTGTGAATGCTTGCCTGCCCGAAACGAAGAATCGGTTCCTCCCAAGTGCATCTCGGTGTTTTGCTGTGAGTCAATACTCGGACCTCAGACAGGCAACCCAGAACGTGTGAAGATGCATGCAGCTGGTGTGTACTTCTAGACTCAGCAGTCCGTGCTGCCACTAATTAACTGCCAGTGCTGGGTTTCAACTCGCACGTTAACGAGCTTGCCGCGCACACGGCAACGGAGTAGGCTGAACGGGAAAGATCTATATTCAAAAGAGCGTCATGCATAAAGCCTGCGATGCCAACTTGTTGGAATGCAGGCGCTCTGCGTGTTTCATCGTGTCGACCCTTGAATCCTTTTCTCGGAAAGGCTCGCGAAAGGGCGGCAGCAGCTATCCAGGCTCGCCGGGCAGGAGTATAAGACATAATAAGACATAATAGGCTTTTTTGTTCACAGGCGACCCCCGGGTTCTTGTTGGGCCGCGGCCTCGTGGAGAGCTAGACGAAGACGCGAACCTGCCCTGAGAGTCTGTACAATCCTGGCGCAGCAGAGGCTGATAACAGCGCAGCCAGGAAAACAGTTGCCTCAATCTTGCTCATCTCACTGTTCTGTGTCGCTTCTGGACAATTCAGACACGGCAGAGCCAGTCAGAACGCATGTAAAGCACAAGCCATTGAAGCCCTTGGAAGTCTTCCCTTCAATAGAAAACGAAAAGAGCAAAGTCGGGACGGGGGCCCGACGAGATGGCGAGATCCTGGATGCAACGCCCAACACCCCTGGTTGTGCACCAGAGGTAAGTGGGCAGAAGAACAGACAGAAGAGTCACTCGGGCACTGCGAGGCAGTGTGAAATTGCTGTGCACATCGAAGGCTGCCTATCGCCACTACCGTGAGACCACTGAGGTGGTTGCAAAGGCTCGCTGCAGTGCGGATCATCAGGCTAAAAGCGCGTCAGTTTGTGCATGCATGGTCGCTTTCACTGCACCGTCCTCTCACCACGATCATTGTAAAGATAGCTGAAAAAGATTGCGAATAACGGATAGCAGAGTCCTCCTCGCTCGAAGCACTTACTAACACACCGTCCCATGCTTTTGGCCATCATCGCAAGAGCATGGCATGTTTCCTTCACGTGGCTATTCGATATCCAGTTTCGGACAGGCCCTGGTCTCGCACCTCCACAGCGCGGCTCCCAGCAGTGAAATGTTCGTGTATTCGGGAGCAAAGGCCTTTCGCATTGGGTCCGGGGTTCCAAGAAGCTCAAACGAGGGCGTGGCAAAGATTCTGTGCTTTTTCTCCCGTTCCTTGCGTCTACGCTGTGCGTGGCGATTCGGAGGCCCTCCACCTGCACCTCCCTCGGCCGAGCGCCTGCAAAGTGCAGCAACGCTGGCCTGTGGCTGAGTTGAGACGAAGTGTTTCCCTTTCGATTCACGCTGAGCTTCTTGAAGCAGATTCAGAGCCAGAGCAAGCCTTCGGAGGCTGTATTAGGCCGTAGCGTTGGGCGCTCGGAGTCCAAGCGCGCGTGCCGAGGTTCGCAGCATCGTCCGGCGCTACCAAGCCAAGGCGCAGCTTCGGGGCAGGGGCTCAGAAGAAGCTTCCCTTCTGCGTTGTCTTGCATTCCACTTCGTATGGGCAGGAGCAGCTTGCAACTCTGGAGTTGGAGCAGGCAGAGATGGAGCGACAGCACCAGCTTCAGGCAGGGCATGGGCAGGGGCCACACACGAGTGGAGCGTGAGATGCGCTGCTCCCAGGTGGCTGCTGCGAAGACCATCCAGTCCGTCGTTCGATGCTTTCAACTCCAGCAGCAGCTGCAGGACTTGGTGGCCATGTGCCGGGGTTCGATCGCTTGGCAGGGTGCCTGCAGGCGTTTCTCGGCACAGGCCACGCTACTAAGCGCTTGGGACGAACATCAGAAGCGGCGAAGTGCCGCTGCGGTGCGGCTTCAGGCAGCTCAGCGTTCCTTCCGGGCTCAGCGCGAGCTCGCCCGGCGCAAGGCAATGCGGGATGGCTTGCTACTCCTGGGGCCAAAGGAGATCAGCTGCGTACGCCTCTTCCAACGCAGCGGTCGCCGATACCTGGCTTGCCTGGTGGTGTTGGAGGCGGAGCGACACCGCAACGCCTGCGCTCGCCGCATCCAGGCGCTGTGGCGAGGGCACCGATGCCGAGAAGCGGTGAGAGAGACCTTGGACGCCTGGCGCAAGCGCCGGAATCTCGCCGGAGGCCCAGAGGGGCCCAAGAGGTGCAGAGTCAGTGCGGAGCGAGGTCCAATAACAAGCAAGTGTTTCTTTCGGCCATGGTGGGCTCAAGATGTAGATAGACTTCAGCTTGTCTCTCGCGGGGAGGGCACAAAGGTTCATGCTGTCGTGCCATGTGGTACCCACGCTGTCCTGCCTCAGCGATGATGAGAGGCGGGCCTCACCCTGGGCGCTTTTCCCCCACTTTAAGGATGGCCGTGGCCCTGGCCTGCAGGCAGCTGATTCTGAGTTTCGTGCTCGGGGATTTGACCTGCTATCCACGAGTGGCCGCCATCGACAGTAGATTCTTCCTGGCCTGCACTTCCTTGGGCTCCTGGCGAGAAGCTTGGATGCAATGTGGGGCTGCGGCGGTGTGCACGGAGTCGAAGCTCGGATCCTCGTGAGATGAGGAATCTGTGATCGAGATTCCCCGCAAGTGGGCTCTCAAGCAGGACCGGACCGGGCTTGCTCAATCTGCCCAAGGGCCGAGGCCAAGGCAGAGGCTCGCTTGAAGATTCCACGTCAGGAGTGCCTGGATCAGTTGCTTAAGCTCTCGAGCACCCCGGCAGAATGAGCTCTCGAGATCTGGCCCGGCATCCTGCGCAGAGCTGTGCAGAGCCCCAGGCAGCTGGCAGCTGGCGCAGAAGGTGGTGCTCCCTCCGTTCCCCCAACGGCATCGCTTGCAGGCCGCTGTGTGATGGTGCGTGGTGCCTGGGTGCAAGCGATGCGAGTTCGCCAGGACCAGCTGGCCAAGGACTGCCCTAGCCTGGTCTTGGCGCCATCTGGAGAAGGACGGGGTTGTGCGAGTTGGGTCACGAGTGCAGGGTTAGCACCGGATGCTGTGAGTTGAATGGGTTCTGCGGTTTCTCATTGGAACAACCTCTCCCGGACATATAAGCGGGCTGCGGACTCGCTGTAGACAGAAGCCTAGCCTGCCCAGGACCCTACATGCTCTTCGTCATGGGCTGCAACTTAGTCATTGGAGCCAGGATGTCTCTCCACTTCTTCGAACCTAGATACCGATGGATGTGCCGAAGACTCTTCGCAGGGGAGCCCCCCTACATGCCCCTTAACTGCATTCTTGCACAAGCTTAAAAGGTAAAAGGGAGTTCAGGATTTCCTGGTGAGTAACCTGCGGACAATCCGGATAGCCGAACTCAAGCCCTGCCAAACCTGGCGTTCTTGATGCCGATGGACGGAAGATGTACTCACTCTAACAAAACCCCGATCCAACGACACGGGCCTCCAGCATGAACTGCGCGGTGTTTCCTGCACGGTGCTTCGTTTCGTCTGAGACGCGGGTGGGTGTGTGTGTGTGTGTCAGTCACATTGTGTGTTTACTCATGTGAGATACGCAGGATGGTGCAGGCATCAGTGAAGAAGCCCTGCGGTCAGCCGACATTGGCTTTCCCGAGATAAAGCAAGACATACTGACACACTTGAAAAAGAGACGTTAAAAGAGGACTGACACAGCTTTTCCCCATCTTCTGTCCAGGTTCGGATTTGTGACGCATGGCAGAGCCAAAGAAGGTTCGCGCGGCGTGCTTTGTCAGGCCACAGACACTCTGCGGCACTCGAGGTTGGCGATCCCCGTGGCAGATTCTTCAGATTCTTTCCTTTGCGACTGTCCGAGGACTGGATCAACAACAGCAACGGCACTTACGACGTTCAGATCAGGGCCGAGGCCACCTTCATCTTGACGGAGGTCTGGCACCAGGAGCAGGGAGTATCCATGCTTCTTAGATGTGGCAACCTTCACATCTGCTGGGAAAACTGAATCGCTTACCGAAGGCCCATAACCGCACTCGTAGCCGCGTAGCCGGAGGATCTTCCGCACAGCTCCCCCCTTGCGCTCGGGTTCGTCGACATCACTTCAGGTGGAGCTCCTCAGCGAGGCCGAGCTTTCAGGATTGTGCAGAATTCTGCATGCCAGCCGAAGCCTCTTCCGCTCGTGCGAAGGAAGCAGCCCACGGGTGCTGTCGTCCAGGCGCCGCACCCGGATTTGTCAGTCGGATCCTACTTGTACTGGGATTGTGTTACTGCAAGGAGCTCTGGACGACGGTGCTTCCCGTTGCCTTCCCTCCGCAGATTGCTATCTGGCCTGTGGACTGGCTGCCCACGTCGAACATAAAGCCACGCGCAGTTCCCGCGAGCGGATCTCACTCGCTGTACATACCCTTGTAGGTTGTAGAACTCTGAAATCCAAATCCTTCGAAAGCGTGCATAAGCCACACGCTCCCACTTTAAAGGTAGAAGTGATAGAATCGGCAATAGCTTTTGCCTGCACGAAGGCTCCGTCGAGCCCAAAGCGTGGCATTCCGTTTTCAGCTGTCGCTACATGTTGCTACTCGCAGCACAATCTCGCTATTTTAGTGCTCTGAGAGAAAGGCAGGCGGCCACCTCTGTGATATGTTGTCGTCCCCCTCTTGCGGCCAACGTGGTGTAGGCTCCAATGTCACAATCTCGAGTTGCCGAAACTGCTGAGGCAGCCAGCCGCATCCAGTCCTTTGCGCGGGCTATCCAAGACAGAAAGAGGCCAGCAGAAGCTCCGTGCATCCATGAAAGCCTATCTTAGCTCGACGAGAGTCGATGTTTCTGTTGCCAGGTTCCGAGCCGAGAGACTCCGGCGAGATGCAGCGACCCAGTGGGTCTGGAGCTGAGAGCACAGAATCTGAAACACTCCCGGACGGAGGCCTCTGTTGAACGTGTGCAGAGCGGATGTGCGGAGACTCTGCTCTGATCAATCCGGCCCCCTAGATCCAAACCGCCTGGCGGCGGCACGAAGCCCGCAAGATCACGAAGGAGTTCAGAAGAAAGCCGGCGACCTATCGCGTTGATGTCTCAAGGGCTTGAGGAGGTTCTGGAGATTCGTCCAACTTGCTATGTGCGCTCGTCCTGTGTGCACCCAAGAGCTTGACAACTTTAGACAGACTCTGTCGTCTAAGGTGGCCGATACGGTCAGCAGGAACACTTGCAGAACTTTCCTGATTCACGCACCACATTTATTTAAATTTGGCTTGAACAGGGTCCGAGACCCTGACCAATGGCGCAGCATCCTCCTCATCTAAATGCTGTGGATTTTTCTTCTGGAAGAGGCGTGCAGAGCTGCGCGCTTGCTTTCTCCTGCAGCGTCAGTTCCGGGGCCATGCCGTGCGGCGGAGCTGGAACCTCAGCTGGGATGGAGAGGTGGATGAGCGTCGCATAAGTTGTTCTTCTGTTGTGCCGGGGCTCAGGCTATCTTGTAAGTGCCGCGATCAGATTTCGAACATTTTTGAACGCCGCAATAGCCCGTCGTCTTGGAATTTCAAGGTTAGAGCTCAGCACTGGGTTTGGGGTGTGGAGCTTAGCAAGGTCAAAGATTTTAGGGTTTAGTCACTTTGTTTACACCCCCTGCATTTGAACCGGCCGGTGCGTAGTCGCTTGTTGTTATTTAGTGACACGGAGAAGCATGCGCCTGCCGGTGCATGCCATGAAGCTCCAAACTGCGACCAGTCTTACGATTCCGGGAGCGTGTCCGCGACAAGAGCTTGGCCGTGGAGCATAAACAGTTTCACGCAGTGACCGCGCCATGAAGTGCTCCGTTCTCGGTAAAGTGCGACGTGGCTGGCAGGCACTGGGCCTCAGCTCCGGAGACGACAGCATGCAGCTGCTCGTCGCACCCTTGGAGCAGTGACTTTCGCTGTTCTGTGCGGCCGCTTTGTTGTTTTGCTTTCTTTGGGAATCGTTTCATCGTTTCGCTATGTTGAAGTCCACTGGAGAGTCACTGGGGAGGGTGAAGCCTCAGCTTCGGGATGCACGGCCAAAGCGTCTTCTTGCTTAGACACGCCACCGTTTTACGAGGAAGATGTGGCGCGATGTGTGACAGGAAGTGGCACGAAGTGCAACGGGCTTCATGTTGTCGAAAAGTGCTGTTTCGGGTTTGAGGTTTCATGGTTACCGGCTGTATGTCTAAATGCTCATGCGAGGAGTTCATGCAGCTAGACTTTTCCTTGAATCAAAGTTCGATCATGCAGTGTTATTGCGGCTCTAATTGTTGGAGGGCATACTGTGGTGTGGCAAAATCAGCTGTTCTTGCGATCCCTTTTTCCGAACTGGCTGGTCGCCGAGGTGTGCAGGGTATTGCAAGAGTACGAAAGGCGAAGCGGGAGGCCAAGTGGACTAATTACTCAGTTGCACCGTCCCAGGCTTTGTCGGCTCTGCTGTCGATTCTATCAGTTTAAGAATCAAATCCAGCTAGCGGACGAAAACAGATAAACACCAATTCATGATTCATGCGCAGGTGTTCGTAAGTAGATAAACGCACCGGTGCGAGAGTTGCTCATGACAGATACTTCAGAACTCCGTTGCATCAGTACATGCATATCCAGTTGTTTGATTTCACAGACATGTTCGCACACACGTTAAAGGTTTCTACACAGATGAAATGTGCACATATGTATATACCTCACATTCAGTATACCTGTATGTATAGATATATGTATATACTGATTATATACTATATACTTATATGATATTGTATGACGTAATATAGTAGAGCATACGTAGTGCATAATATAGTCTACGTAACAGAATTTGATATGACACCATGTATCATGATATGTTGAAGTGTCATAGGCACATAAGCATGTGCGTCCTCTGCTTCGTTTCGTCTGTCTGTCTGTTTGTCTGTATCTATTTGTCCATCTATCTATGTAGGCTTGAACAGCTTCGGTGCATGCGGCTTGCGGTGGCAGGTGGACCGGTTGCGCAAGGAGCTGGAGCTTCGACGAGAGGCGGCGGTCACGAAGATCCAGAGCTGCATGCTCCCAGCCAGCAAGATTTCAAGGGTTCAGGGTTCGGAATTCAGACAGTTTAGAGCCTGGAGTTTTCTATGAGGGTGTGATGGGGTTGCGGCAGCCGAGCAAAATCTCGTAATTTTGCGGCAACGCGGCAGTCGCAATTGTATTGGGGGCAAGTGGCAGCAAGAGTCGCAGCAAAGGTTGAGGGTAAGAGCCAAACGGGTACAGATCGTAGTCAGAGACGCAGCCAGATGAGAAACATGCTCTGGAATGGGGAAGAAGTGATGGAATCTATCAATAATTGTATTTAAGCCCGAAGAGCTGCAATAGTAGTAGTAGTAGTAGTAGTAGTAGGAGTAGGAGGAGGAGGAGGAGGAGTAGTAGTAGTAGTAATGCAGGGTAATCCGAGCAACTGTGGTCACGTGCTGCAAGCATCCAGAGCATTGTGGAGTTGGTTTGCTTCAGGCAAGGTAGATCTTTGAGGTCAGTCGATCATACTTCGTGGCCCTTCAGAGGCTTACAGAGGTCAATAAGGCTCAAAAATTAAGGAATATATACCTTAAATTATACATAGGAACCCTAGTATAAGATGTAAGGTATACTCAAGAGGGTGCTACGTGAGCCCAGCCATGGCTTAGTCCACCGCCTCTCAAAGAGCCTTGTGTTGTGGAAATGTCGCAAACTGAGGCGCGGCGTAGTGGCTCGGAGGAAGGCCCGTCAACTTGCTTCTGCTGTGCCTGCAATGCCTGAGACTGCTCGTGAATTTCGTCCCCGAGGTGTTGCCACAAATCACCTTCCGACGCCTGGCGGCGCATGGCTCAGCTATCCCGTGTCGCAGCGGTATTGAGCCTGATGCTGTCAAGGAAGTTCCTGCACATGCCCAGTGGTTCAACTGCCCGAAAACGCAGAGGTCATCCGCATGCAGGCCTTCTTGCGAGGCGTCCTCGGGCCTCGGCCTCAGTTGCACTTTGTGTTTATCTCAGTCCTTGAAGCCTCGACAGCCTTGACAATGCGACAGGCGGGCGCGTGCCCGGATCGCCAAGCGAAATCGGGCTGCCATCAAGGCTGCACGGAGCTTTCCTTTTGTGCTATGGGTCGCGAACCTATGGTGTCATCAGCACTCCGGGGCGGAGTCCTGCATCTCGCTGTGGAAGCTTGAAACCAGTACTTGTTGTGTCCGCTACGGTAGTGCCCCTACGGACGTTGTCCAGTCATAAAGAAACAGACTTAAAAGTAAACACAGAAACAAACAAAGCTGGATCCTCATAAGCTCTGGGGGGACATGCACAGCAGCTCTGGTCAGATCGAGAGCTTCTGGCGCGGCGGGCTGGCAAAGGCGGAGGCAATGCGGCGCAGGGCGTCGGTGTCTCGGATGTGAGCTTGCGGGGCTTCAGAAGAGAGCTGAGCTGGAAATCTCCGAGGGCCGAAGCCAACCGGCTGCTGGAAGCCTTGCTGGAGGGCAACGTGCCCTTGCGGGGCACTTGGTCTCGAGGGCTCCGCTGCGGAGACTCGGGCTTCTTGCTGCCTCTTAGCTGTTGGCGCTGCTGAAAGAAAGGACGGATGGCACGCCGCGCACCGCTGCGGGTGGCAGAGCCTGGCTGGGCAAGGCGATGCTAATCGGTGGGATGCGATGGTTTTCTTCACGTCGAAGTCTTGTTTTCGCAGGCTTGGGTTCGACTCTTGGGGTTGCAAGCGGTTGGGTGCTGGGCATCCATGGGCTGACAGGTGACTGCAGCGCTGGAGTGGAAAGCTCAAAACGATGCAGACGAAGAGGACGGTGACACGAGGTCACCCGCAATGCATGCGACATGACAGGCAGCGCAGGTTGACTTAATAAGCCGGGCGACTGGATGGAACCCTATCCAAGCACTTCCGTCGAAGTGTTTCAGATACCTTTACTTGCTCTTCGCTTCGTGCCTGTGCAGCTTCCGATGTACAGGACAAACTGATGCGACTGCGACGGCAACTGGCTTTCAGCCGGCTTCCACAAGTACTGCTGGAGGCATAGCGGAAGCTCTACAATCGTAGATGCTTCTCTTTTGGGCATAGGGACAACACTGTGCTTGTACCTAGACCCACCGTCTCTCCATACCTCCGTCAGGTCTCTCCGTTTTTCTCTGGTGGCACTCTGTTGGTTTCGACAGTCACAGGGGAGACCTTAAGCTTGGGAGTGTCTCATGGCAGCCAAAGGAGGTCGGAATGCCGGACAGCATCCTCTCTGCCGCCCTCCTTGACCGTTCTGTGGTGCGGGCCCGACACGACGGGAGAGCCCGCTTTGAGCCCCAAAAGTAAATAGGGAGTTTAACAATAACCGCCAGAGGTTGCTAGTAACTGAATCTAGTGGAGCTGATGCGAGCCGGATTCCCAGCAGCTGACTGCTGATATGCGCACCTTCATCTGTCCTTGCCGAAATAAATCATCCCCCTGTCTTTGTTTTGCCTCGTTTCCGCTGAAAAAATGAACCCATCATCAAGCTAAGTATCAAGCTGCTTTGCAAAAAGCCAGCAGTTGCAAAGATCCTTGTGCTTCAATGGCTCGGCCAGGCAATGTAGTCGAGATTCTCTCAAGTCGATGTTGTTTGCCAAGGCCGCCCTGGGAATCTGCAAGCGCCGCGCCCGGCACCGCATCCGCGCGCTCCTGCAGACACAGATCTGCCAAGGCAGGGAAGGACCGAAGGCATGGCGACCCAAAAAAGGGGTATGATCAAGACCTGCCAGGTGGAGAGCTGGTCTTCAACAGACAGATGCGCAGATCATTGTCCGTGGACCATGGCGTTCGGAGCTCAAGCAATGCTTCACAGCTTTTGCTTTGCCCAGAAATTGAGAGCTCTGAGCTCGTTTTGCTTCGAGCATTCGAGGTGCTCATCCGACTCACAACGGAAGATGCTGTTCGGGAGGCGGCCGATCCTTCTGAGCTTGAAGCTGCCCTCTCTCTCTCCCCTTCTCGCGAGGTCTCCAACCTCCTGCTGACCTCCTGGTCTATTGCAGCAGCTCGACGCTCTGCATCGCAGGGAGCCCAAGACTAAATCGGGGTCGGGACGGGGGGTCGCTTCGAGGCATCGGTTGCCGTTTGTGCTTCGTTGCAGGTCGGCCGGAGGGGCCTCTACGACTCTTCAAGCGCTGCAGTCAGGTGCTCCCCCGAATTGTTTGGCCTTGGGAAGTTCGGGTGGAAGTGGAATGTGCAGGTGATGGGGGAGTAGTATTACTATCCATAGAGAGGAGACCTAGGCCATGATGCAATGGGCGAGTGAGCAGAGGCACGATTACAGTTTGTGGTTCGTCGCAGGTCTTCACTCCCTGAAGCGGAAGTTGCACGTGGAGCTTTATGCCACAGGCGCGAACCGTTCAGCTGACCGATCACACTGCACAACATTTCAGCAGAAGTACTACGAATATTGATTATCAGTTCAGTGGGCTTCCTGAACTTGTAGGTGATATCGATAAAGCCCCCTGCGACGCAAAGACAGGCAAAAGCACCCAGCCGCAAGACTCGGCAGCCCTGGCTGCGCTAGTCGCATCCGGGGAGGAGGCGGCGACGAAGGCGCGGAGGAGCTGAGACGGGAGCGCTTGGGAGCCTCTTTTGCTACTCTTTTCTGCTGCAGTGAACGGATGTAGCGAGGCGGTCGAGCGGGCTGCCGCTGCAAGGGACAAGGTCCTGAAGCCCTTGGAGCAGGCCGCAGTGGAGAAACTTTCTTAAACTTTCTTAAACTTTATCAGAGACTGTATGAAGTTAGAGACTTTGGAGGAGAGACCTTTAGAGGCAGAGAGAGAGAGAGAGAGATGTGGTGTGCTGTGGAGGAGCACACGGCCCTCATCTCCGAGAGCAAGGCCGACGCGGCGAAGGTTTCAAGGAACTCGGCGAATTCGGATCCTGACAGAATCCAATAACGAGGCCCCTTGTGATCCTGATATTAAGCTGAAGTCTACCTGCAACTCCAAGCTTGTCCAGTGCCTCCTCTCGTAGTTTTGAGAAGATGTCTTCATAGCCGTCTACTTTGCGGTGCCGGAGGCTGCGACGACAGCACTGAAGGCTGCTGTTGAAAAAGTACAGCCGGAGGCGGATCATCGGCTTTTTGGAATCGAGAGCTTGCGCAAGTTTTCGTTCTCAGTGCTGTGGACGGATTCAAGTGGTTGTTGGGTCAATCGGCATGGTGTCATGAAGATGCCTCCCGTCCCCCTGCATCCCTGTGGTACTCGTAGTGATGGTGGAGAGGTTTCTTCCCTGGGACAGGAGATTTTCAGCAGGCCCTCAGAGGTAACAGGCTGTCGAAGGCTCATTAGACGCTTAAGCCGATATATACACGCAGCGGCTGACGAACTCTTGGCGCCCCTTTCGACGACCTGTACAGGTCGATGCTATCAAGAGGAAGCATCAAGATGAGGCCAAGCAGGCGCAAGCGGTGCGCGCGCCGCCCTTGGCTGCGTGCAACTGGCTCTGCTGGCAGGCTGAGGAGAAGCTTCGTGAAGAAAGGAAGCAGAAGCACGAGCAAACGGTCCCATGGCAGCGCTTTTTCGGGTCTTTTCGATGAACGCGGAGCTGCGTTTGCGTAGCTGCGCTAGCAGCCGCGGAGGCTCGACTGGGCTCCAGGCCAGCAAAGAACAAGCAGGATAATGGAGGGTGTTTACGGCAGAGCTTGCCGGAAGAAAGCCTGAGGCTAACTTGAAATAGCGATACTTTAGACAAGTTTTTTGGACAGCAGGAAGGGACGGAAGACTAGGCCGTCATCCCTTGTAGGTTTGCTAGACAAGGCATAGGAGTCTAGGGAATCTGATGGGTTTGGATACAGGGCGCAGCAACACCCCTTCGCACGATCCTCGTTCGGAGATCCGAGTTATGCCGGCCCATTCGGGTCTTCACAGCTGAGGTTTGGTTTGGGTTTTTGGGCTTTTCTGAGGTCGCGCTTCACAAGATTGCCATCAGCACGCAGATCGAAAAGGCTTGTTCGACAAGCTCTTTCAGACAAACCGGTTCCCGCCTCGGCCTAGAAGGGAAGAAGCTGCCTTCGCTGACAGGAGCGTTTGGAGGCTGGCCTTGTGGACAAGAGCAGGCGACGGGCACCCGTTCCGTGCGAGACTCCGAGCGAAAGCCATTGAAAGCCCGGATGTTGCGAGCTGCCCAGCTATGCCCAGCCACGTGCCAGGCCAAAGGTTGCCTGCTACAAGAAAGTCTTCGCGAACGTTAAGGAACTGCAGCAAGAGCTCAAGGCAGCAACCACTGGGGCCGTGTTTTTTTCGGGATGGGGTGCTGGCACACCGCCTTGCGGTAGTGGAGAAAGCTTCCTTCACCATCACCACAAATGATACTTTGACACACAGGATTTGGAGGTCAGCGGCACGGCAAACCGGCTAGGGCCTGAGCTGGTCCCGCAGTTTCAGAGATCTTGTGCCCTGCGTCTCCCTTCCTGGTTTCAGCAAATCTGGAGGAAGAGCCAGGGCATTCTGCAGCACACTCTGCGAGCCCTCGAGTGGCAGCCCCGGACATTTCTCTTTCAGCGAGTGCGAGTGTTAGAGTCTAAGTCTACAGGCTCTCAACCCGCCTCTTTCTGGAAGGTCCCGGGCAGTCAAGGCGGAAAGCGACGCCAAGGCGAAGGTGCTCTTCGGCACCTTGCCCGCACAGCGAAGAACCGTCTCGAAGACTCGCATCCGCCCTTCCCTGCTTTGAGGCGAAGAGGAGCAAGATGTCAAGGACTTCAAACCCAGCGCTCAGGCAGGGGAGCATGGGTGGCAGGCCCTTTCAACTGGGCTTCAACGTGGTACAGGTGCTCAAAAAGCAAGAGAAGAGCGTGGAGCAAGAGGAGCAGTTCCAAGTCCAGCTCGAGTGCGGAGCCAAAGAGAGTGGGCGCAGTAGAAAGGCATCGTCTTGCCTGCGAGAGTTTGAGGTCCGAGGTGCATAGCCTCCGTGCAGATCTGGAAGCGAAAGCCAGCCGCGAGGCGGGGAATCGCGGGCGGGGAGCTTCCCCGTAGTCGCGGAGTCAGCGGAAAGTCTCTAGACCCGACTTAGGCGGGCTCTCTCGGTGCGCAGCTGCGCCGGGAGGCAGAGGAGTTGGGCCAGGCCCGTGAGTCCTGTAAACAAACGGGCACAAGTTACAGAAGAGAACGGGCGCTTCTTTGTCGCCTTGTCTTTGAGAGGCAGCCGCATCCGTGGAACGTCGCATCGTCAGCTGGCAGGAAGTGTCCGAAGAGCTGAAAGACTCATCACTGCGTAGGGCATGGGACTGGTCCACCTGTTGTTAGGAGCGGGCGGATGCCGTTCGGCAGTGGCTGGCAGAGGCGAAACCTCATCTCGAAGCCTGCTGGATCAGAAATGACGAACATGAGAGGTGGTGCCAGTGGCAAAGTCTGCATCGCGGATAGTCACGGCGGCAGATTTCGTCAAGGCACCGCTAGTTAGCATCTGGCATGGCCCGACTTGGAGTAAGCCTGGTGGGGCAGCAAATGCGGTCACGCTTATCCTTTGCTGGTGCACTGCCGCTTTGACGCTGCCGTGCCAGGCCTGCCAAGCGTCGCGGCCCCAGAAAACCTCAGCCCTATAGTCGCAGTATTATTTATTTCATCACATGCCACAGCTCTCTCCGACAGAGATTAGCGACTGCATTTCGAGGCCCGAGTCCGCACACGCCTACGGGGCCTGCCTCCGGGCAGTGGCTAAGCAGGTGATCTCCCTCCTCAGCGAGGCCCAAGCCCTTCTCTTCAGGTCTCAAGTCCCATGGGCGGCTGCTGAGCGTTCGCTTCTGCTCCTCTTTCCAGGCAGAGAACGTTGCTCGAGGGGCCTCCTCCCCGCGCGAAGGCATGGCGGCTTCATTGTCGGAGAGGTGTCAAATTTTTGTCAAAAGCCTTGCGAGCGTGGAATCGCCTCGAGGCGACCTGGCCCCGCATCTGCAGCGGCTCAAGTCGACCCTGAAGGCTCGTCGGTGCCGAGCACGGATGACGACGCTGCGCCGATGCGTTGTGTTGTGTGACAAGTGAGACAGTGGGCTGCACGAAGGGTGCCCTGGTTTTATACGTGTTCGCCTCCAACTGGCTCATAGGTGGGACAGTAAACAGTAGTCCGAGGATCACTTGGTCAGGCAGTGATACGCGGTGGTGTAGCGCAGAAGACCTGCATTCTGTTCACTGCTTCGAGGGTGCTGCGTTAAAGGCTGACGGAGGTTTTTGTCTGCCTTCAGGCACTTGGCGAGCTGCGGGTGACTTTCCCGGATCCGCCAGATGTGCGGAGCTCGCCCAGCGCGGCCAAGGGGAGGTGGCCCGCGCTGTGTAGCACGCGGCGGGTGAGGTTCAGGTCGGGTCTGAGTCAACATGTTTGAGGCGGGTGGATTTGGGCCTTCGTCACAACCATCGAGCCAAGCCGGATAGCATAGCGCCAACATGTTTCCGTCTGACAAGACGGCAAAGCACTGTCAATCAGTCCGATCACAAACACGCCCTGATTTCAGTTTTTCGGGCCTCCACGACAGTGCTGCCCAGCGCAACAAGCGTGGAAGAGTCGTGGGTGTTGGCCAGGAAGCGGCTCTATGGCAGGGAGGATGGCGAGGAAGACGATGCAGAGTCCACAGAAGCCTGGAACTCAAGCATGCGGGCCTGAACCGAGCTAATGCTGTAGGGCTTGCTTCGTGCGCCATTATGTGCTGTATCATTCTGTTGTATTATATGAGTTCCCCTCTTCTGAAAGCTTTCGGCCTGCGCATGGCGTGAGGCTCCAAAGGCCGGCAGCCAGGGCTCGAGGCGCGTTTCGCTTCCGGCAGCCAGGGCCTTCCGGCGAGATCCTGCAAGATCCACGCTCGTCATGGGGTAGAAAAGGTGAGCGCGACGGAGCTGAGATGATTTGTAGCATGTCCGGCACCGCCAGGAAGAACTCCATCAGCAGCCCTCCGCCTCTGCCACTCTCAAGTGTGGAGGGAGGCGAGGACGCGGAAACGGACACGCCGCGCGAGGACAGTGAGGGAGATATTTCGATGGAGAATTGGACCGCATTGGGATGACCCCAAACTCCAAGACTTCAATCACTCTAGCCGTGCTTCCCTAACACCTCGAATTCAAGCCTCAACCTGTGGTAGGTGGCACTTGTTCAAGCTAAAGACAAGTCATGTATATCAGATTGCATGCCCGCGGCCTTAACAGCCTTGACGTTGACAAACTTCACAAGCTCGCAACACAGCTTTGCCAAGCTAGTCATGGTGACGTCACAGTGTGCGAGCGGATGGACTTTCCCAGAGGGCAGATTCAACAGAGAAGTTGTGATCCAAGCTCTCGAGCGATGGCCTCTGGTGAGCTCCGGCTTCGTGTGCTGCAGGCCACTGAAAGTATGGGCGATGGGAGTTCCGGCCGGGAGGGGTTCTTCTGACAGGTCGGTGACCTGCGCATGAGAGTGGCCGAGCAGGGCGATCCCGCCACCTGCTTTGAAGCTTGGAAAGTTGAGGACTTAAGCCAAAACGAGTGAAATCAGGCTTGGTCCACGGAATCACGGCACCTGTAGTCAGGCCAACCCACTGGTGTTACTCATCCATGGCTGGCCCGAATGCTGGCTCCTCGCTGCCTGGTAATGCCAAAAACTTCCCGAGCGGCTGCACGAAGCAGTTTAACAGGTTCTCGTGGCGCTGGCAGCTGCCTGCTCTGGCAGAGGCAGGTTCTGCTGCGCTCTGACATCTCCAAAGCCGAAGACCCGACCCAACAGTAGGCTGGGTACTACGCAGTGGCGCCGGACATGCCGGGATATGGAGGCACAGACTCCCCCAAGGAGGTGTCCAGGATGCAGCCTCGAGTGCCTCAACAGGGAGAGCTTATGCCCGTGTACACACTGTGTAATTACAGCACATGCAAGGTTGCTCGCTACGATTCCAGGAGCATAGGTCAGGAGACTCGGCCGCAATGGAAGGGTGAGCCACCTTCTCTGGAGGATTCAAAAGCCAAGGACCTGCTGTCACTCCTAGGAGCTCTGGGAAAGGATTGCTATGCCCTTGTTGGCCATGACTGGGGCGCCCTCCATGTATGGTACCATGTCAGCCAAAGAAGCCCTTCTTCCACCAAAAACAGAGCCTCCTGTGAAACTCTGAAGCTCGAGGTTTATTGGCAGCCTCTTTCCGGAAGCCTTCCCTCGGCAACTTGGCTTCTAGGATCTCGGGATATCTTGGGCACATGGCCTTGGAGCAACTCGAAGCGAAAGCTTCTTGAGGCTTTGTGCTATGAGCGTGCCGCCGCAAATCCTCCACGGCCAGCAGCCTCCCGTGGTCGAGCTAGCTGCGAGACACGGTCCCAACTTCAATTACATCGTCTACCATAACGAGTACACCCGCTACGGAGAGTCCTGGCCTGTCCACGACCCCTCAGCTGTCTCTGGCCCAGCAGATCAAGAATATGATGCCGATCCAGAGAACTTTCTTCTCCGAATCTATCTTTCTGGTTCATTGGGGACTTCCGAAGTGAAAGCCATCCCCCTGGAGGTGGGCCTTTGTCGAAAGGCAACAGGCAACAGTGTGCATCTTGCCGGCCTGTTTCAGCACTCGCAGGCTGATCGCAACACGGATCTGAAGCGTTCCAGTGGTGGATGCCGCACGCGCCTTCCGCAGCCGGTCAGGGGGGTGCCAAGGCTAGAATGAAGAAGACAGACGGTTGAGTTGCTGCCCGAGGGCTTCTTGACTTGATAGAGAGCTTCTCCAACCTTGTCAAGAAGTCTTGTCACGAAGAAGAGCTCCAGGTGGCATCCTTCAGAAGCAACCAGAACTGCGGACAGGTTGAGTCAAGGTTTAATCGTTTGCTGCGTTTCACTTCCTGGGAGGCTGAGGTTTGGGCAGAGAGCTGTTCCGCGCTTGCGCGAGCCCCCAGAAAACCGACGTGTACCAGTTGAAGTTGAGGCACCTTTGCCCTCCTGGCTTCCCCGCCCTGCCTTGGACCGCTTCGCCGACGAGTTTCGAAAGTCGGGCAGCTCGTCTTGCCGGTATTGCAGCTGCCGGAACTGATGACGAATCCTTCCCAGAGCAACTAAGGATTTCGCGGGGGGCTGAACTACTATCGCTGCCTGGATCGAAATTGGGCGCAGGTTCAGGAGCCGTTGGAGAAGAGAGGACGGAAAGTCCTGCAACCCGGCACGGCCGTTTCTTCATGTTCGAGTTCCTTGCATGCCTTGAGCCATGCAGAGAAGCCGGTACAAGCGAGGCAACCTCTCTTATTCATCGCTGGGGAGCTCGACACCGTCATCCACACGAATGGTGGCATGGAAGCTTCGACGGCCGCGCTTCGCAAGACGTGCGCCGACCTTCGTGGGATCGTCTACATCCCAGACTGCGGTCACTGGAACACACAGGAGAAGCCACACGAAACCAATGTCGCACTCCTCGGATTCGTGGATTCAACGAAAGATCTGGGCAGAGGTGCGGAGAGCGCTCCGTAAAGTCTAGTAGGGCAGCGAAATTGCAGTCGCTTGCGGTTGCATCCTTGCAGGGCCCGCGCCGACCAGCCGGCTCTAGTGAGTGCCCTCGGGTAGCGGTAGGCTGGCGTTTCGCGTTTCGAGACAGATTGCAGCGCCCGGGCCTGTCGGATCGACGGGGCAGCGTGCAAAACAGTGTTGTGCTGATGTCCTGACGTCATCCGAGATACCAGAGAGAGGGAGAGAGAGAGAGTGCTGCAATGCTCCTTGTCTTGCACCCCTCCAACCTTCGAACGTCTGCGGGCTTGAACAGCACATGCAACAGACAGAGAAGTGGGACACGAGTCCGTGGAATTGGGTGGTGGAGTTTGAGTTTGAGGGTCAGGCAGAGGCTCCTGCAAGCGGCCCATTGCAAGGTTTGCACCTTGGTGCTGTTTTTTACTCTCTTTCGATAATTTTAGTTGTTTTCGAGCGGATCACTCTTCGCGCCTGAAACAAGAAGAACGCTCCCCTGAGAGCCTCCCCTGAGAGACTCGCGCATGTCAGGACTCAGCCCCTGAGGCCGCGAGCTTTCAGGGGCTCCAAAGCGCGAAGCCACCGAAGCTGGGACCCAGCGATTTTCCGCCTCCGAGGCTTGGGCCCCCAGCCGGGGTCGTACTCGGGTCCTCGCCCTCCTAGAGGCAGTAGGAGGTTCGTTCCGTAATGAGTAATCTCAGCAGGGGCAGAAGCAAGCAGGGAGGATGGTTCCCTCAGCTCTGTGAGCCGGAAGAAGCATCTGCGCGCGATGGCGCGGAGTTGCGGAGTTGCGCAAGTATCAGCGTGGCCTCACATGGTCTCTGAGGCAGGGGGCCGCCGGAGCTGCCGCCGCCGGCCCCGCGGCAGAAGGCTTCAACCTGAGCAGCTCCTTGGCCAAAGCTTAAATCGCTTCTGTGCCACCGCCAGCCCCGGCCTCCCCGAGATGCGACCTCGACTCTGGCGGAGCTTGGCCAAAACCTTTCGGCGCTGTCCTCCACGCCCGCGGCCTCAGAGCAACGCGCCGGCTCAGGAGCGCTTCAGGTACCGTGGATCCTTGTTTAGGACTGTGCCCTGAGACCTTTTTCCGACAGCATCTGGCAGCTTGAAACTGGCGACGGCCGCCCCCTGCTCTCAGCCGAGGTCGTGTCGGCATATAGCTTGATCGAACACACTTACTGTCGTGTCTGCAAAAAAGCATTCGGTCCTTGGCTGTTAATCGCTATGCCCACAAGTTGAGCAGCCGCGGACAGCAGCCCAGAGCTTGAGCATCGTGTATGAGCCGTTGCCCCGCCAGCGTTTATGTCGGAGCAGAGCCGCGCTGCCGTGGCCCAACTGGCAGAACAGCTGCCGGATGGACGGCTGCGGATCTGCATCCTCGGGGGCACCTCCGTCCAAAGGCAGGGAAAAAGGTGCGTTGAAGCAGCACTGTCCCGAGTGGGTGACCCCGAAGGAAAGAGAGCGAAGAGCTCGCACATCTCGTCGCGCAGGGCCTGTCCTCAAAGCTGAAGGGGCGCGTCTTTGCGTTCACAGAAGGTCTGGCCTGTGCTCGTTCAGAATTCAGCCGGCGTTGATCTAGTCAGCGTGCTGTTTCACGAGGATGAGGGCTGGCTGTCAAGCTTCAGCTTGAGTTTCGGGGCCTCAGGCTTGTTCGTCCATGTGAGTCCCTGAAAGGCATGCCGGGCATCCAAAATGCCTTCGCGAGACACTGCAGCGAGACTCTACTGCACAACCTCGTCCTTGAGGGCCAGGTGCAACGAGTTCTTCCCGACTCCTGGGTCTCAGCAGTCTGATGCGCGCCAGGCCTGCAGCTGGCACGGAAGGGAGCTGAGTGCCGGCGAGAGCATCTCTGAAAGAAAGGACCCAGAGACTCCGCGAGCGAGAAGCCTTCGCCTTTTGCCCCCCCCCCCCGGTTTGCAGGAGATCTTTAGCTTGCTGGGCGACGTGTACATCGTATTGGAGGGCGGCCCGGGTGTTGCGAAGCAAGCTCGGTTGGCCCTGAAGCGGGGTGCCTGCATTCTGCCACTCGCGAGAACCGGCGGTGCCAGCTCGGGGCTCTTCGACTTTCCCAAGAAAGCACTGGAGAAGCCGAGCTTCGTGGAGGAGACATGCTGGGAAGCCCTGCAAAACGCAGAGGCGCCCACAGCCACCACGGCCGAGGCCGTGGTGGCCATCTGCGAGGCTGCTTCTGAACTCCCAGGCGGCTTTGGGAGGAGCCTTCTGGAGGCCGAGAGTGACGCAGACGCGGAGGATCTCCCTTTGAGTCCAGCAGCTTGGCTCCAAAAAACAGAGACCAACAGAGAGAGAGCCGCCCTCGCGCCCAAAAAAAAACGCACCCCTCTCGCGTGCGTATTGTAAGTATATCAGGACTCCTCGAAGCCGCTCCTGGAAGAGGCCCTCAGGGCGGCCCCGGCCTCGCGAAGACCTGCTGCGCCCTTGGACGCCTCCCAGGAGGCGCCCGGAGGCTTCAAACTGGAGCCTCCAGCGGGCCCCGTGTCTGAAAATAGGATTCGGGCGCACCTCCAGGACAGCGGAATTCGCGCTGGCGGGCTGTCGAGGGAGGAGATCGGTGCCGTGCGGGAGATCCTGGGCATCAGCCGGCCAGGTCGCTGAGACCTGCACATGAACTTCAACGAAAACTGCTGCAGTTGCACTCATGTCGAGCGACCATCACTGACAATTACTGACAAGGTGGCAAGATCATCAATATTGCCATGCTAACTTTGTCATCAATCACTGAGTACTCTTGTCATTATCCTTACTGTTCTTGCTTCCAGATTTTTCTGAAGTTTGAGAATTCTCGCTTGCTGTTGAATGGTAAGCTCTGTGGGATGTGCCAGGCTTGCCGTCGGCATCCAGCACTGGTCATGGCCGTAGCCACCAAGTGCCGTGGCTTGGGTTTCAGGGTTTAAGGTTTAAGTTTTAGAGTTAAGTAAGGTGTTAATTTCATTATAGTTTGGAGGTATATTTGGTGTTTAAGGTTTAGATGTGAAGGTTTAGGAAGTTTTGGCATTAAGTCTTATAGTGTTCGATTCAACAGTTAGGGTTAAGGTGTGGTTATGTCATGGGTGCTCGCTGTTGTGTCGAGCAACCCCAAGCCACTCACACCGCTTGTAGCTTGCAACCGACTCCAAGACCACCCTGAGTTCCAACATTTGAGACCTTTCCCAGCGGCGGCTGGGGCATCACCGTCGGGGGCCGCTACGAGCGGGGCCCCGTCCTCACCACTGGGCAGATGATGACTTGCTTCCAAAGGCCGACACGACGACAGTAAACAGAGGAATGTTTATTTGTGTTACGAAAACTCGCGCACAGATGTTCAAGATGGGGTGCCCGGTCGTGGGAAGCCCTTTGACAGGGCAACAACCGTTCCGTGCCCGGCCGGCGCAGGCAGGTCCTGGGCGCGTCCGCCCTCAAGCGAGGACGCGTGCTAGCACCAAAGCGAGCTGCCCTAGGATGCTGGCTAGCCTCTGTCACGTTCGATTCAACGATGCCTTGTGGGATCAGAAGTGGAAATTGTGTTGGCTTCCTAATCCGCTTGATTGGCATGACAACGAACGCAGCTGAGATGGATCTTGATTGCTGCCTTTCAGGGTGCAGTGCCATGAAAGATGGAGATTTCATTAGGCGTGCTTTGCGCGTGTCGGTTGTTTCTCATTGGCTTCGTTGTATTCGAGCTGCCTTCTCACGTACCGACTTTAACGCTGGCTGAGGGCCTCTGTGTCCGTGCTTTCAGTCGTCTGCGAAACATTGCGTTGCTGAGGAAGCACCACCCTTGGGGCCTAAATTGTCTACACCGATGCCCTTCCAGAGAAGGCAGGCGAAGCTGATGGGTTTAAGCTGTTCTGTGTCGTCATGGGTGGACACGAGTATAGAAAGAAGCAGCCTGCATGCATCATCCAGGACCGTGCCGCGTTTCTCGGTAGAGATGCCAGTGCCCCGCGTCAGGACACAGTTTTGAACCTGGTGGACTGTTTGACGTTTCATGTGGCTAGTTCCTGGGGAGGTCCTTTTTCAGCATGTTGAGATGAGTTTTGACCCACGCTCGAGAGAGATAGCACTCGGCGATGCATGCGGGGTACCGCCAAATGCCTGGCCCTGATCCTCACGAAATGCAACTCAATCCGTGTGACTATAATTTGCACTGTTGCACTCTGGCAAGATGCAATCTGGCCAACCCGCTGTAACCCATACTGCATACTTTCTGTATCTTTCTGTATGTTGCATGATCAGGAGCTCGGCATGCTTTCGCCGCAGGGTGGTGCGTGACGCGTGGAATATGCAGGACAGACACGACGGTACTGCAGGGCACATCTGTGTGGGGCACCCTCCCGTTTTTGGTCCATTGTAGGTGCCAGTGCGCTTTCTGGTGGGCTCGGATAGGGCGGCAATGGAGACTGACTACTGAGGGGAGTGCTGGGAAGACATGTTGGCAACACGCACTCTTCCAGACTGCAGGAGATCCTGCTGGCTTGGGCCATCTCACGCCACCCGGGCCGAAGGGCACGGCACCCCGTCTGCCTGCAGCAGTCTTTCAGTCCTTGTCATGTTGCGAAAGAGCATGAAAGAGACCTCTCTTGTGAGGCTCAGCATTGCTAACAAGTACAAAAGCAGAGGCCCCGTACAAGTAGGAGATAAGTAGACCCCTTGCTGATGCTGGCTCCTTCGTCGGGTTGCGACATGTCTGCAATCTCGAAGCCAGTTTGCAACCTGCACCCCTGTCTTCCAGCTGGTGGAGAGGGCAGTCGGCATGCCCCGTGCATGCATGGGCTGCATCGTTGCAATCGCAGCAGCCAACCTGGGGCTGAGGGCCCGAGAATCACAACACTGCACAGTGCTGCACGTCACTTCAGCAATATCAAGTGCATCATCGACCAGGCCGACCCTCCTGGCTAAGTCATTGTGACACACTCTTGCAGGCAGCGCCACGAACTGCCTACGCCGCTGGCAGACGAGACGGACGCCTGCATCAGAATTGGTTTCAGATTCAGGTTTCCGGTTTGTGTCTCCGCACAGCTGTCAGCTGAGAAGGAGTTTCGCTGGTACTTCAACCTCCTCTTCCCGTCCTTGGAGATCGATCTCTGGGAG